TTCTTGGTTGTAATAGAACGTTAAGGCCACAGATCAATTTTCATTTCCGATTTTTAGGGGGGTGACAGTAAGACCAAGAAAAAAAATGAAAAGCTTGTAGTAAAACCATTTTAGTTACAGATAGTTTTCAGGAGCAGATATTCATTCTTTCTTTTAGTCTAATCATCAATTTTTTCATAGTCTTGAGAAAGAGACTGTTTTATATTTATGTCGTAATTGTAAAAAAAATTTTTTACAATAAATTTATTTTTCTCAAAAAGTAAAAAAAAAGCTAGAATGTAATGCCTTTAGGGGGTGACAGTAAGACAGAAAAAAATGAAAAGCTGGTAGTAAAACCATTTTAGTTATAGATAGTTTTCAGGAGCAGATAATCTATTCTTTCTTTTAGTCTAATCATCAATTTTTTCATAGTCTTGAGAAAGAGACTGTTTTATATTTATGTCGTAATTGTAAAAAAATGTTTTTGCAAAAATTTTATTTTCTCGAAAAGAAAAAAAAATTCTAGATTGAAATACCTATCGCTTTTGCTCCTTTCCGTCTTGATATATATATATATATATATATATATATATGCTTTCAGATCTTCATTTTTCACTGGCACTTTTATGAAGAAAAGAGCAGGGATGCCTCAGGCGATTAAAAATTTAAAAGTTGGAAGGAACTCAATTCTTATTTATGTATTTTTTATTTCCTTAAAAAATAAATGGTAACTACCACTAGAACTTCGTAGCTGCCAACAATTATTTATTTTCATATTTAAAGTGGTAGCGAAACTCATGATATTCTATTAACCTTTTTGAATTATGATAATAAATTATAAATAAGTTTGACCAATCATCACTATATAAAAATAATTACAACTAATGTAAAAAAGTAACTACAATATAAAATATGCTACATAAATCTGTTAGTTTTAATCTGTTTTAATAAAAATTTGATCATTTTTATATTGTACCAATCCCTTCATATAAATATAAAATATATTTCAATGATATATACCCCAAATAAATAAAAAAAATAAGAAAATTAAATAAAAAAGTAAAATATATGTATAAATGTATAATGCATACTGATACATAAATACTGAAAAGCAATATTCTTACCTATAGATTTTTACTTAATCTTGAAAAAGCTCGGATGCAAAACTTTTACAGTCAGGAAGTTTAGAACGATTTGAACATAAAAGAAAACTACAAAACGAACTAGATTTTTGTATACATGAAAAGAATGCTAAATTTAGTGGGAAAAAATGCTTGGGACCTAAATCAAACCACATTATGAAACGAGAAAAAATGCAGGGACAATATTCTAGGAACAACTCTATAATAAATCACAGAGCTCGTTTCAATCACAGTATGTTAGTAGAATATATTCTGTCCAAAAGCAGTGTCAGTGTCTTAAGTATTTCCGAACATAAACTGAGCTGATGTTGTCAAAAACAAAAACTTCCTCTTGTCATGCAGTCATTTTTTAAGGATAATATTAATGGATACATGATAAATCTGGTATAAGCATTAATTAGAAGAAATATGGAATATAATAATAATATTCTCTTTTATTTATAGTCTGGACAATTTATCTAGGAACTGAGCAGTTTCGAGCGAGTATTAACATCTCTTTCTGAACCTTAGAACAGGGAATAGTATAAGAGATCGTATGTCCATGTTAAATTATCCAAGTCTAAAATAAATTCCTCTAATATCAAAGAAAGTAAAGAAAAAATTTTCATGCTTAAAATATGTTTTATATTAAAGAACTTAATTTTTTTAATGTAAGTTTTACTTAAAAACTTAAACTCAACTTGTTTTTTACTTAAAAACGAAAACTTTAGGTCTAGTAATATTTTTTAATTTGACTAAAGTATATTTAGGCATCTGGTATATAAACAGTAGATCAATATATTCTCTATCTGAAATTTAAATTTCAAAACTACTCTGGATAACCGTAACTGAATTACAACAATTATAAGAAATAGTATATTATTAAGCTAAAAAGTGCCATTTGTTATAAAAGTGTTAAGTGTATACATAGATGCCAACCTGCTCCGCTTCGTAAAATAGTATTTTATAGTGGTAGCTAAGCTTAAGTTAATTTAGTTTAGTATTTTTCATTTCAGGTAACTTTTCCACTACTACTTATAAAAAATTCAGAGTATTATATGAAATCTAACTTAATTTAAGTTTCTCCCGTGATCTTCCTTTTAGAAAATAACCATAATTATCCTATTTCTACAAATTGTACTATTTAATTCACTACCAGTTTATTAAGACTTTAGCTGAGAGTGGAGCAGTTGGCATCCGTGGTGTAAAAGTTTAACAAGTAGAGCCTATTAAAAACAGCCTGACAAATAGATAATTTTAAATACAATCAAAGCAGTCAACTTAATAAACTTTTCGGGAAATTTTCGTTTTGTGGTTGCTTTGTTTTGTTTTTATGAATTATTCTTTATTTCGTAAATTTGATTTAAATTTATTTTCCACAACACTACTTAATAAATGATTCAAAAATTTATATATAACTCTACTTCATTTAAACTCTCTGTGGGGAGGCTTGCAAAATGTAGGCAGAAATTACTTAAAATTCTGAACTGTTCGTTCTTATAATTGTCTACCACTCTATGAAATATTTTGCAAAAAGCGTAGTTGTTGGCAGGCACAAAAATGTTTGCAAAATTACCAGAAATGCTGAAAGCTTTAGTTTTTAGTTGGCAGTCCTGTATAATACGATTATTCGCGCGGAAGAGGAATCATAAATACATTGAGTTTTTTATTACTGTTTTTTTTCATAATAAAAAAATTGTGTATTGTCTAATAGGAAAATAAAACGTTGTATTAAAAATTAAACAAATTTTTGTTTGATTTTTTCTGAAGTTAGTTTTTTTTTATATATGTATGTAATTTTATTTTTTGGCGACTTATAATCATGCTTTCGAAAATTCACCCCTTTAATTTAATTTTTAAGATTGTTATGTACACTTATCCCTTCTTGAAAAAGCGCCTACAAATTAAAAAAAAAATTTTTTGATTTTTCTGAAGAGCTTCGAACAATCATTAGCATAATTGCCGTTTTTTCACTTTCTGGTTAAGATTCTTTGTAGTGGTAGCGAAATAACAATTGATTTTAAAATTGTAAGCGAAAATTATTTTAACCCTACAAAAAATTTATTAATTTTAAATAATAGAGTTAGAACTAATGTATGTTCATGTAAATTATTTATGCGTATTGTTGGTCGTAATTATTATAAATCAGCAATGTTGAAAATATTGATGTACATATTTTGTTAGCATTTTAAAAGGAAAAGATAAACCAATCGGACTCATTGACGTCAACTCGAAAGTTTATTCTTTTTTAATCTCTCAGTTTAACTATAACGTTTTATTATTTTTGTATTTGTATGGTTCTTTTTAAGATACATTTAAATAACGGGTGGTATGCTAAAACCATCTCCATAACAAACTTGACCTGTGAAACCTATTCATTTTCCCATGTCTGCTCCACAAAAACTTCAAATGTATCGCTTTTAACAGCTTATCATAGGAATCCTTTATAGAAATTCGACTGTTTTAGAAACAAGTTCTTCCTTAACACGTTGAATGCCATGGGGGTCACCGGTGACAGACACTGAGTTTATTCGTAGCTCCATGGGGGTCACCGGTGACCAGCGAAGCCAAGATTATTAGAAACACATGATTCGAGTAAATTTCCAATTTTTTTACATTATTATCGTTACTAAAATGGTTTGAAGAAATTAATGCAATATAAAACACACAAAAATAGTTTTACTTATATACCCAGAGATGCCAACTTGCTCCGGACAGCGAATAAATATTTTCAAGTGTAGTTTATTAACACGTTGAAGGCCGCGTCAGCCATCGTTAGCTGACACTGGACTTTCCATTTAGGCTGCGTCTGCCACCGCTTGCTGACACTGACCTTTCACGTAGGCAGCGAAAAACAGCTGGCTGACATCGTATAACATGATATAGAACTATAAAATTTACACTCTTTAATAGAATTGCAGAAAATTTATTTAAAACTTACTTAATTATTGTGATTCTTGGTTTAATAAATTCAATTTACTTGGCTTTTATCCACCACTATTTCTAAACAATTCGTAGGATTATATAATTCACCACTTTCATCAGTTATGTAGAGATGCAAACTTGCTCCCGACAGTAAATATTTATTTTAAAGTGGTAGTTCATCAATTGGAATTCTTGGTTTAATAAATTCTATTTAGTGGATTTTTATCCACCACTATTTCTTAATAATTCGTAGGTTTATATGATTCACCACTTTATAGTACTAATATCATGCAATACCTTTTAAAAAGCAAGCAATAATAGTCATATATTTGCAAAATTAGCTTTTTAATCATTTACCGTATTTTTAATTATTTTGGCGTGTCCGGAGCACTTGGCATCTCTGGTTATGTCATGCTAAACCTTTATAAAAACTAGCAAAATCTGTCTAATATTTGCAAAATTTAGTTTGTAGTTATTTACCGCTGTGGCCTGAAGGGCAAGACCTGTAAAATTAGCTTGGCGTCCAAGGTGTTAATTGTGATTCTTGGTTTAATAAATTCAATGTAGTAGATTTTTATCCACCATTATTTCTAAACAATTCGTAGTGTTATATAACTCACCACTTTCAGAGATGCTAACTGCTCCGGACACGCCAAAATAATTAAGAAAGTGGTAAATAACTACAACTAAATTTTTCAAATATTTGACTATTTTTGCTTGCTTTTTAAAGGTATAGCATGACGATAGTACGGTAAAATGGTGAAATAGATAAGCTTACAAATTATTTAAAAATAGTGGTGGAAACAAATCCACTAAATTGAATTAATTAAACCAAGAACCACAATTAATAAACTACCACTTTCAAATAGATATTTGCTGTCCGGAGCAAGTTGGCATCTCTGCACTTTTTTCAAATATGTTATGCTAAGCCTTTTAAAAAAACTCGCAAAATCTGTCTAATTAACTTGTAATAAATTAACTTGTAGTTATTTACCGTTGTGGCTATACGGGCAAGCCATGTAAAATTAGAGTGGCATTCAACTTGTTAAAATACATGCGAACTTATTATGAAGATATTCTTATGTCTGTTTAAGAGTATTGTAACAGATTAGAGTCTGTTTAATTGCTTTAACTTCTGGTTCTGTATCTATCCAATTTTGCTTCTTCGTAGACCCAAAGACAGAGAAAATCACAGATGAAAATAAGAGAACAGCAATGACAGTTCCAAACACAGTGTACCATTCCTGAAAACTTTGCTGAAAGTAAGGAAATTCATATTAACATGTTTATTGTAATGATATTTGTATCTTATCTAATCGGATAGCTGAGAGAAAGAATTAAAAGAATTGAAGTAAGTTACATTTTCAGAGTGGCTATAATGAGGATCAGAAGAAAAAGTGATAACCAAACTACTTTACTGTAGATAATTAGAGTGGGGGGGGGAGGCTGATAACCATTTGTTTTATTTTATGTAACACTATCAAAAAACAATTCAGGTACATTAAACATTCCCATATTGAGGCTATCACTTTATGCTATTTTCAGTGATTAATAAATGCCTCAGAAAATGTCACTCACTTGCTTCCTCCACTAAGGTCTTCAGTTCTAATAACACTCAATTAGACAATATTCTACCAAAAGGCCAAATTTATCGCTTTCAATGAGGAGAGATTAATACTTTTGAGCACTAAGAATGAACCATCCTGCTCATACATATATTAATGTGAGATGCTAAAATTTGAGAAATTTATGTTCTGGTATTGAGTAGTCAGTTTTAAACATACGCAAAAAACATCCCTCGACTTATTTAATGGACCAATTGTAAATACTAACGTTTCCCTTTCTGTACGTGACTTAAGAGGTCATCGGGAATATTTTTCAGTATTTTCCCTAATTTTTATTAAGTAGTACTTCAATTTTGTATCATATATATATATATATATATATATATATATATATATATACATANTTATATATATATATATATATTGTATATATATTTTTATATATATATATATATATTAATGATTAACAAGACATTTAAATGGTTCTGCGGTACATAAAAGATTCCATAAATGTACTCCTTGTTGGGCTAGTGCACTTTTGCATTCTTTAATTTAACTACCACACAAAATGTTGAAAAATGCAATAAATTCCGAGTTGGCAGTTAATATTTTCGATGCAATAACCGATTTTCGTAGTTTTGGGAGGGTATCGTAGTCTTGGGAGGGTTTCGTAGTATAGGGAAATGTATACACCTTGAATAAAAAATATCTTTATCTGAACTATGAAACTTTCTGTTTAGACAGTAATGCACAGGTAACGAAAAATTTAAGAAGTGACAAAATGTCAATTTACTTTTATTTCCTCAATTTATTTAATTATAATTACCTCCATGACACACATTAAAAATTATTCATATTAAAAAAAAATTTCTTTTCATACTTTTTTGATAGTAACCTGAAAGAAATATTCTAGAAGAAGTTGCGAATTTTAAACTCTTTTAATAGATTTTTGCTTTTTAATAATCACCACTTTTTACATTTTAGTCGCTCTTGGCATTCCTGGTTTAAGAGGCATTTTTATTTTCCTACAGGGAAATTTTCATTGAAATTTGATCCTAAATAATTTTGATCGCCTCGGTACTTAAATTGCTTCATACGTTTAATGCCATGCGGGTCACCTGTGACCGGCACTGAGTTAGTTCGTAGACCCACGAGGGTCACCGTTTACCGGCGAGGTCAAGATTATTAGGAACACATAATTCGAGTAAATTTTTAATTTTTTTTATATATTATTATTGCTACTAAAATGGTTTGAAGGAATTAAAGCAAAGTAGAACACGCAAATATAGTTTTATTTATATACACAGAGATGCCAACTTGCTCCAGACAGCGAAAATATATTTTCAAGTAGTAGTTTATGAATTGCAATTCTTGGTTTAATAAATTCAATTTAGTAGATTTTTATCCACCACTATTTCGAAACAATTCGTAGGCTTATATAATTCACCACTTTTTTCAGTTAAGTCATAAATCTTTTATAAAACTATCAAACTTTGCCTAATGTTTGCAATTTTAGATTGTAGTAATTAACCGTTTGACCAGACGGGCACCCCCAACGTCTCCTACAACTGAAAGCCTCCTCACGGTTTTTCTTAGGTAGTCCGATTAGACCACTATGAAAGTAAATCAGCTAATGAACGAGCCCCTTAATACGAAATCTTGTAAAAATAAGAAAGTGGTACCAAATATATGTCTAAAAATTTGTTTAATTTATGACTATAATTGGTTTGTCTCATTTACTTGTCTACCACTAAAGATTTAATTCTCAAATATACATGATGAATTTTTCTCAATCACGATGAATTTTTCTCAATCAATTTCATTTCACTTTTAAAATAGTCTGCTCAGACTACTTATGAAAAACCGTGTGGAGGCTTTCTGATGTAGGAGGTGATGGCACACCATGTGAAATTAGTGGGGCATTCAACGTGTTAAAGATAAAATTAAATACATATTGCCGTCATTTGCCGGGAGTTTTGCTTGCCAGTTAAAAAGAAAAGCTTTGCGTAAGCATTTTATATCACCACATATTTAGGTATGTTGTGCTGTTATAAGAGCTGAAATATAACTTTCTGTTTAATTTTTAATTCATTTTCACTATAAATGTAGGGGAAAGCTTGTACTTTTGGTTGGCATCAATGTGTTTTTATGTTTTTTTTTCATGTACAGAAACAGCAAAAGCATAAATCGTTCTCAGCTGTCTATTGGTTTGCCCTTGGAAATTAATGTCTGAAGAAATGTAAAGAAAAAGTAAAAGCTTTAAATTAAAATTTAAAATATTGTCGACGCTTAAATCCATCATAACCTGATTAAGATCATCCATCTTCGAAATATTTGTTGGTTGTGCTAAACAAAATCATTACGAAGTCTGTATCCTTATTTAAATAGTTGTGCAAGTTCATATTTGTTCATTCTGCAGGGATGCCACAGGTGACCAAAAATGTAGAGTGGCGATTAATTAAAACCGCAAAACCTATTCAATGGTATAAAATCAGTAACTTCCTTAAATCAGCAACTTTTTAAAATCAGCAACCATTTTCCTCTTATATGAATCTGGAGCAATGTAATGACAAGCCACATTTTCAAATTGTGCAATAAAGGTTTTTTAAAGCCTTCAGTCAAAAAAAAAACTATAATTTCCTTATAAGTGCTAAAATATTTCTATGTATTAAGTCATCTAGTTATCAGAGCATTTGGTAAAAATGCTTCATATCACTATATTGCCCTGAAGTCTTTCATTTGCATTAGATACTTTTTGTATAAGTAATGTTCATGTTATTAAAACTTACATGTTCATTAGTAATATACCCTACAAACATAGGCGCTAAAAATCCCATCATACTTGAAAAAGTATTGGATATACCGTACAATGTACCTAGAATATAAAAGAATAAACGTTATTCTTATCAAGTATTCTCCATTCAAATATGATATTGATTTTAACTTTTTTTTAAAATTTCTAGTCATTCCTTTACCAGTAGTTTTCTTTTAATAATAAAATATAAGCAGCTTTCTACATTATGGAAAAGATAAGTAATGTTAATTTATCACTATCATTTTATAAGTGTTCAAGAAATGATTTTTGTAACCCTTGCCATCGAGGTTCTTTCTGCATTCAAATAAAGGACGCAACCACTAAGTTAGCAAGACAAAATACATTTTGCACAATTTCAATGGTTACTAAGCATCAAAGTGTAAAAATTTGGCATTAATAGTGGTAGGTAACTTATGGTGCCTATAATTTATGGAACTTTGATTGCAAAGGGTTAATTATTTAAGTCATTAACATCAAGTTAGTTAGTAATTAAGGAAATTTGAATAATGAATATCCGCTTCTCTTAGATTTTAATAAGTGCAAAGAAGTGAAAATTTGGAAAATTATTGTTTAGAAGTGAGTCGTGTTTGGAAGATTTTACCTTTGATGTAGAAAAAGCCAACGGAGTTTCATACTGTATTTCATAACTATAAGCAATTATTTTTTTAAATTTTTTTTCCAATGCCCACCTGTGTTAACATCCGTCAATTCAGGTATATACAGGGCGAATTTGCTGGCCTCTCTTTCAGGGGCACCACATTAGGTGGGCCAACGTCGCTCCCCCAGTGAAGACCGATAGTACAGAGAAGGAAGGAACATCCATGCCTTGCCTGGGATTCAAACCCAGAACCTTTCTGATGCAATGACACTTCCCTGCCCCCTACACATTTCGGTCGGCCTATAAGTAATTATAATGATAAATATAATATTTTTTTAAACTTATTTTGACCTAAATTACTACCTAACTAATGAAAAATATCATTAATAAAAATTCTGCGTTAAATGTATGTGCCATATGGATATAAAATTGGTACATCTTAGAATTATCGTATGTCGAAAATTTCAAAATAAATCAGCTTTTTTTTTAATAAAGTAAATAAAAGATAAATTTAATGTATTCGCTTTGCTTTTTCGACCACTACAGTCGAAGTATAGTCGTATACTATAGTCACAGTTTTGAACAAAAAATGTATCTTGCAAGTCAAGAAATCATAGTCTTGAGCCAAAGGTCTATCACGTAACTTGAGTTTTTAGCTAAATGACTATCACAGTCACAGAATTCTTTTACTTTTCAATCAAATGCGAATTATAGTATTGAGAAAAATGTTTATTACATTCGTAGGGGAAATATATTTTCAAATTCAATGCGTATCATATAAGTAAAGGAATTATAGTTTTGAGACAAATATCCAATGTTTCTCAATCCAAACGCAGAAAAATCTTGAATCAAATGTGTATCATACAGAGAAATTATAGCTTTGTTCACTTACCAATGTGAATTACGAACAAATTTATATCGCATACGCAAATGAATTATAGTTTCAGTGAACTGAGCATTAAATACATAAAAAAATCATGGATAAGAACCAAATTTATGTAAAGCGTTTTTAGATCTGAGCGTATACACACATAAAAGTTATAGTTTTCAGACAAATGTATTTTATATTCGTAGAAGAATTATATATTCAAGTTAAATGCGTATCATATAGAACAAATGTCCAATGTTCCTCAATCTAATCATTTAGGAATCGTACTTTTGAATCAAATGTGTATCATGTAAAGGAATTGTAGTTTAATCACATACCAATGTGCATCACTTACGTAAATGAATTATAGAGTTAGTGAACTGCTCATCAAGTACGTAAAAAAATCAAAGATATGAATAAAAACTATGCAACACGTTTTTAGTCAAACGCTTACACACTTCAAAATTATAGTTTTTAGCAAAATGGGTATCACATACCTAGAAAAATAACAATTGAGATTAAATGTATATAAATTAAGATAACAATAAATCAGATATTTCTCATTTTGCCGTACATGATTTGTTAAAGAAAAAAGAACTGAGAAAGGTACTTTATAATTATTTCTTAAGAATTTCATGCCATGAGAATATAGAGAAATGTAATAAAATAATTTATTATTTCAGGGTTCTCTCGTGGGAACATTGGAGTTTTATAAAAAAGTATTAATGAATTAACAGCAAACGCTTTTCACAATTTATAGTTATTTACTTATTGTACAAAGGAGTGGACAACTAAGATTTATATACGCCGTGGTACCATTCTGTCCCGGGAAAATCTTAATATTTATTCAATACAAATGCGATTGTATTCAAACCAATATACTCACCTGCATATTCTGGAGATAAATCTAAATGATTAATATTATAACCACAAACGGCAAATCCTATGATGGGTACAGAACAGATGAAAAAAATGGTAGAGAGTACAGCATTGCATCCAGCTAAGCAAACACCAACTAATCCAGCCGAAAACCATAAAAATGCTGTAAAGAGTTCATGATTATTTGACTACAAACTAACGACATGAACTGAATAAGAAATTTTAAGTACACAAAAATTAATTTTTTTCATGGGGGAGGCATAAATATACGTATATTGATGATGGGATATAACATGATAAGCAACGTTTCTGTTAATAAAATAAATGCTGCATTGATATTACTGAGGAACAAATTGTTTGGTGATTTTATACAAGTACTTCATCTTTTTTATTTCGGATGTGAGGACTTGAGGAAAAGTTGGCAGGTATGTAGCTTCTTCCTCAGCTTTCCTGGCCGAGCAGTATCGCCAGCCAATCGTTGTGCAAAGAGTGGAGGTAGCTGGTTCGAATCCCACTGTTACCCTAAATGTATTGTGTTACCTTCTCTTCTATTTTACAAAGGTTTATAAGCCTGCAAATGTATGTAATTCCGATAAAAAATAAACCGTTTCTTTCTATGTTGAGGCTTTTGAAATGATTGTAAAATTATCAAACGTTCTGAAAGGTTTAATTGCTAAGTGTCCACCACTCTGTTAAATATTTTCAAAAGCGTAGTGATTCGCAGCACTGAAAATATGATGCAAAAGACATGCATACATAAACAAACTTGTAACGAAAATATCCAACAGAACTAAGCGATACATCAGATATATGAGAGAGATTTGATGCATCAGAGATATGAGGGCCCTGTCACTTTTTTTTTAATATAAAGCCACCTTTTGCATCCTTGTATTCATGGACGGAATTTTCCGCTATACCTAATACAATATTTTTACATAATAACAAATAAGTGTATGATAATATAGTTACTAAGCATTAAAATATAAAGAGTTGAGTGAATATAAAGAGATGATGGGAGGGTAATTTTGATGTTCCATTATAAGGAACACAGCAGATTGCAAAGTGTTGAAAGAGATACTCCCATCGTATAAGGCTACTATACTAGGAATCTAATTCACACTAATTTTACATGGCTTGCCCGACTGGGCATACGGTGAATAACTACAAACTAAATTTGCAAATATTAGATAGATTTTGCTAGTTTTTTTAAAAGGTTTAACATGTCATACATGAAAAAAATGGTGAATTATAATAGCCTACGAATTGTTTAGAAATAGTGGTGTATAAAAATCGAATGAAATTAATTTATTAAACCAAGAATCACAATTAATAAACTACCACTTGAAAATATTTATTCGCTGTCCGAAACGAGTTTGCATCTCTGTGTAGATAAATAAAACTATTTTTGTGCATTCTATATTGCATTAATTTCTTCAAACCATTTTAGTAACGATAATAATATTAAAAAATTAAAAGCATTAAAAATTTACTCGAATTTTGTGTTTCTTGGCTTCGACGGTCACCGGTGGCTCCCATGGCGCTACGAACAAACTCAGGGCAGGTCACCGGTGACCCCATGGCATTCAACGTGTTAATACAAAACTTAATCATGAAATAAATGAGGTGACAGTTTTTATATTTTGGAAGAAAAAAACTTCCACGCTGGACGCTAACTTATAAATTTCATTTTTATCAATAATATTTTGCCTTCCACATTACATGTGCAAAACTACATTTGATATTTGGAAACTAACTTACGAAACACGGTGCAAAATTTTCTGATGAAATTTACTGTGGCGTAACCCTTACGTAACAATAAGTTAGAGGTAAATCCAACAGTAATAGCGATCACAGCTTTTATTGGAAATGGGATTGACGAGAGAATTCCATTCTAAAAAAAAATATTTAAATTATATATAAAAATATGATTAATTCTATGAATGTTGCTTGATTGTTTATCAAATCAATAAATCAGAATAAATTGAATAAGTAATCCCAAGAAACTGAAGTGGTAAGATAGTACCTAATTGAAAAATTTCATACGTTTTAAGAATATACCAAATTGAAATGCAAGTCGACATGTTTCAAGATCATCAAAAAATTTTTTTTTACTCTGATTTGCCTCTCAGCCACTGCATACCTGCCAACTTTTAATCCATTCCATTATGAATTTTCCCAGTGGTATTAAAATGGAATTAAAACTTCAATTTTAAGCAAACAAATACGTTGTATTTGAGAAAACTTAAGTTGACAAATTTTAAGCAAACAAATACGTTGTATTTGAGAAAACTTAAGTTGACAACCAAGTTAGTAACGCATATTAATATAAGTGCTTAATTTTTGAAAGAATAGTGGTGATCAATATCATTTAAAAATTAAGATTATAAAAGAAAAAATAGTATATAATTACTACCACTTTAAATATGAAAATAAAATCTTCTAGAAAATCCGGAAGAGTTGACAGGTATGCCACTATGTTTTCGGGTTCTTTTTTAGATCTTTCTTTGTTCCTCGGCTTCTCTGGTTTTTCTAGTGTTTGTTTCTTGCCTTTATCTTTCCATTTTTTGTTGGCAATTTTACGTTTTTTTTTTCCAAATCATTTTTATTTCGTTACATTCACGTTTGTAGTCTTGAAAACGGATGCCTATTTTTGATGCGCTCGAAATATCCAACTGTCTTTCCATTTTTGTATATTTTTGAAGCGTATGAAGTTCTCCCATCAGGCAATAAATAAATTAGGTTTTCCTTTCATATGAAGAACTATTCAATTAGATTTTTTACAGTACATATTACATTACTTCAAATTGAAATATTGAATCAATAGTTTTGAATCAAAGTAGCATGAATTTTTAATCCAATTACTCTTATCATTGTTTTATTGCGACGCTTGCTGCTTTCGAAAACAAAAGATACCGATGGGACTCTATTATTTTACTTTTTTCTTTTCAGATATTCTTTTTAAATTCTGTAAAATCTAATAATTAGGTTAATTTATGAAATTTTAAGCATTCCATTTCTTCCAAATAATTGGGAACCTTTATATTTCACTTTAAATTTCTAAAACTTCTAACAACAGGGATACCAAACCTACTCCTAGCATTCATGTTTCTCATGTCTTTTCCTTCGTTTGATTATCCTCCCACGACGACGGTTTCTAAGTAAGATGGTAAGACATGGTTTCTAGAAGATCACCGTTGTCAAGCATCAATCACTGCGATCAGTTAGTGGGTGAGAGATCGTTTTACTCAGCTAGAGAAAGGAGTGCTTGATCGGATTTCACGTCGGTCGTTAGGGTACCAAAGAGGAAGAGCCATCCTCTCTGCAGAAGAACAAAATTGTGATGGCATGACTTCAGATTATCCTCAAAGATGTTTCCAGACAGTCACCCTTAGCCCATTTTTTAAATATAGTACGATGTAAACATGTACTGGTATAATTATATCTCATACCTTATTGATTAAACTACTTTTAGGACAATCTGAAGTCATGCCGTTCCGCCGGCCAGATGGCTGAGCAATTAGCGTGCCTGACTGCAAATCCAATGACTGCGGGTTCGAATCCAGCGCAGGGCATGGATGTTTCTCTCTGTGTGTTGTCCTCAGTTGTGCGTGAGGTGTGAATGTGGCCTACCCTATTAAAGGGTTTCTGTGACAGTGTGCCGTGGGTAATGTTGCTCGCCTCCGTGACTTTGGTCATAAGGTGCTCAGCAAGCAACGCAAAATGAACAACACCTGTCGCCATCTTCCATGGCTGAGAACGATAAATTCGGTGCCTGCCATTAAAAAAAACTTTCCGTTTTTGGCATTTGGCAGTTTTTGACTTATACAAACTAAATTTATATTATTTACAAAAGAGTTTTAAACACCTTCGTTTTTGACGGAATTGAAATTTATTCCGGGTCCGCCTAAAAGAGACTTTAGTGCATCGAACCAAATAAAAAAAAGAATAATATTACAAATACAATACATTTTTACATCACATTCATAACTAAGAAAATAAAGAATAGTGAATAGCACGTGAAAAAAATATTTCAGAATGATTATAAATAACGCATAGTATTTAACACCAACCTTTTCTATATCAAAATGCAATATTGTCGCAAAAAAGGTGGGTAAATCATTCAGGATAATATAAAGGCCCCATTCAGAACCAACCTGAGTTATGATAAGAGCTATGAATGGTATTGACGTCAAAACTTTCAGCCAAGGCAAGGGTGGAACCTGTTAAAAAGATACGTGTCTCATTTTGAATATTTAAAGAGTTGTCTTTTATAATGTCAGGGTAATATACCTGGGTATTCATATCTGATCGTTGATTGGAAATTATATACTTTAATTCATTTTCCGTTATCAAAGGATGAGTGGTAGGAGAGTTTGTAACCAGCATGCACCAGAAAATAGCCATAAGACAGTTTAAGAAACCTTCAAAAAAGAGGATGATCGGTTTCAGGAATTGGTTTGTATTAAATGCGGGTAACAGTTTTGTGATTGGCTAAGAACCTACATTTGCCAAAGAGAAACAAAACAAAAATATCAAGAAAAAATAAACATCGACTAGATATCTTTATTTAACGGATAATATCGTAAATATTATTGCAGGTTTTTTTTTCCAGCTTTTTATTAATGTAAATTTAGTGTTAAATATTCATTATATTTTGTAACAAAATTAAATAATTAAAAGCAATGTCAGCAAGAATTAACGCTAAGTTATTTATATTATTATCCATATAAATAAAAATGAATGCGTGTGTGTGTTTGTTCTTCATAGACTCTTAAACCATCCGACCGAAAGCTATGATATTTGGAATACAGATAGTTCAAAGCACGAGGAGGGTCACTGTCGACATTAGAACATTCTACGACAATTCGTAATGCCCGTTTTTCTATTTGCACAAATAAAGATAGCCATTTTCAAAAATAAATAATTAAATAAGATAAAAAAAATTTCTTTGGATTTTGTATCAGTTGAAATCAAAATTATCTGGTCTGAACTTCATACATTGAAATTTTTTAATTATTTACATGACAATAACTGTTCCCAGACAATACTTTCTTGTCTATGATAATAACAAATATAGATGCTTATAACCAGCATTTGAATGGTTTCTTTTAGATTCAATAACCAAATTATTATGCAATAAGAACTCAAATAAATAAATTCTGTAATTGAGTCAAGGATACCTAACAGTTTCACGAAAACTATTGCACTGGACATTTTTTTAAAAACTCTGTTGACCCTAATTTCTGCTATCTAATTCATCTTCATAATGTTTGCAGCTCTGCAAAATCCAAAGCAGAAGTAAAACACCAAAATTAACGTTTTTCATGAGGTTCAAAATATCCCCTTTTGGCTGTTTGAGGTACTTCCATAATTATTTATTTCATTAATCAACAGAAAGCCATGGAAATTTGATGGAACTTAAAAACAATTTAGGAAAAAATAAAACCATGAGCTTCGAAACTTACGTGTATTTTCAAAAATAACATAACATCAATATGACCCCAACGGCACTTCTAGAATTAAACAGCTGCCCATGACCAAAAATGTTATCGTAGGCAACTAGAGGCGCTTCAATATCCTTAAGGGTCTTCTTGTCGTTATTCGAACTGGTACTTTCATTTTTCAAAGTATTTTAATATTAGCTTTCTTTTAGCCATTGTCCAAAATTGCATTCAAATATGTACCATTTCAGCTGTTTTATCGTAATTTAATGATTTGGCGAGCTTGTCCAGTTAATCATTAAACCTACTAAATTCTGAACATTATAATAACATAATAATTTACATAAATTCTAATTTTAAACCTACTAAATTCTAAAAAGAAAATTTCCACAAACATTCATTATAAAACTGATTATCATAATTATTTTTAATATGGTTTTCACATGAGCATTTTTTGAAATATTTTGACATTAGCAAGAAAAAAATTATATTTTTTATCGAATTTTTCTCTCGCAGAATAGAATATAATGCAAAAATATTTACCAAATAAGTAGAAAACTGAAGGCCATCCATTAAATAAATCTGAGTTACAAAGAAGTCCAGATATGCTCATTCCAGTTAGTGTTCCAATGCTGAGCCCACTTCCGACAACAGCACCTAAAGTTCCTCTCTCAAAATCAGGAAACCAGTTACTGAAGACAGTGTACAATGATGGAAGCATCGCACTCTGAAAGCAGATGAAAAACATTCAATCAACACTCATATTTTAAATATAAATTGCTTAATACGAAGGTTGTTATTTAAGTTAGAGACGTTTTGTTGTGTACACTAATAAGGGAAATGTGATTCGCTATGAGTGCTTGCGTCGTTCCTTGGGAACAACTGTACGGTCATTTATGTGTCTTTCAATAGTTCAAATGTAACAAATCACTAGCTATGCACAAGATACAATCAGTGATGCGTTTTTAGTCAGCAAAAAACCTGTCTGCTACAGACATTCACTGGCAGATTTGAGAAATAGCAATAATCCCTGCCATGCAGATAGCAAACCTGACAACTCTTCCGGATTTTCCGGAAGATTTTATTTTCATATTTAAAGTGGTAGTAAATATATACTTTTTTTTCCTTTATAAATTTAATTTTTAAATGATTTTGATCACCACTATTCTTACAAAAATTAAGCACATATATTAATATGCGTTACTATCATGGTTGTCAACTTAAGTTTTCTCAAATACAACGTATTTGTTTGCTTAAAATTGAAGTTTTAATTCCATTTTAATACCACTGGGAAAAATTATAATGGAAAGGATTAAAAGTTGGCAGGTAAGAGAAAGGGAATTTTGTTACTCTATGACAATGACTCATTCCTCAGCTCAGATCCCACCTTTATTGGACTCTTTTGGTAGGGAAGTTTTGGACCCCCTTCCCTACAGCCCAGACCTTACGCTGAATACTTATCATTTTTTTCCGATATTTCAAACACCATTTTAGCGGTAATCACTACAACGATGACGAATACGCGAAAACTGCCTTGACCTCTTGGTTAACGGAGCAGGTGACAAGTTTGAGTGAAGAGGGTATTCTAAAACAAGTGGTAAGGTATGATGAGTGTCTAAACAAACTTGGCAACTATGCTGAAAAAAAAAAGAGAAACGTATGTAGAATTTAAAAATAAATTTGCTTCCTAAAATTTTTTTTTCGTTTGGTTTTTATTTTTAAGCGGTCCTCACTTAAGAAACAACCCTCGTATTTTTCTTGCTATTTTTGCAAAATATTTGTTAATATTTTTTTTCTTCAAACCGTAATATTTTAGTAAAACAATTTAGTATGAGGTACATTGTGGAAATTCAATATGCGGAAAGATAACAAACTACATAAGATTGAAAAAGTTATGAGTAAGTAAAACTATAAGACAAGCAAATATTGAAAATTATCACAGCTGTTTCAAAAGTGTAAAATTTCCTTCGTTTCTTCGTATTAAGTGCTAAACATAAATTATTTAAGCAATATAATAAAATCCATTAACACTATGCATTTGAGGGACGGTGTAAAAAAGCAAAAAAAAAAAATTTATCCATGTTCATATTCAATATTTGGTCCTGTTTCCTCGAAAGAAGATTTCAACATCAACTTCTGGGCATGCTTTCCTCAAGTCTTTCTAAGACACAAATTCTCATCCACCCGATTTTCAGAAGATATGTGGGTTCTGGTAGTAAAATTAGATAGTTCTTGCTCCGCTCTAATTTGGAGATATAACTCATTTCAGATGTTCTCGACAGCTTTGAGCTCAGGGTTTCAGGCAAATTATTCTACCCTATTAACCCATAGCTGCCATATAGTAGATATTCTTCTTCACCGATATTCCACAAAATATTTTACTAGACGGTAAATAACTACTAACGACAGTTTTCAGATTTTCGGTTAATTTGACCAAAATTTTAAAAGACTCGATGCGGAATAACTGTAACAAAGTGATGTATTGCCTAAGCCTTTGAATTATTTAACACGTTCACGCCGGGGTAACCCACCGGTGGGTCACGTTAGATTTTCTCATCTTGGCAGCGCACCGGAGTAAAAACTGGTAACAATAAATTTCATTTTTTAGTTTTTTTCCGGGAATAATAAAAATCCATAACTACCAATTGTTTTTAACGGATGCAATTTTTTGCTGAATTGCTTCTTCGCCGTGATAAATTTCATTACAGTGAATTGTTATTGTTGAGAATGGATTAACTCCTCCCGAATATTATCTAATATTGAAATAGTTCTTCTACCAGCATGTTCTCTTTTCCCGTACCAGTATTTTCACTTTTCCCGACGTGAACGTGTTAAAGGTAGTGCTGAGTATAGAGGCTATAAATCAAATTCACTAAAGAATCTTACATTAAAAGACTAACACACGAAAATATTTATCCACTGTCCGGAGCAAGTTGGCATCACTGGTTTAGAAGCAAATAGATTAAAATTTTGACTGTATTTGACTGAAATTTTGTAATCGTTTTGGAATATTAGTTATCAGATTGATAGCCCTGCTCCGGAAATGGTTTTAAAGTCCTTCCCTTCAAATAGTCTTTTTAAGTTGCACGTATAACGTTTTTCGGAAATGACTTTATTACCTGTGACACACCTTGTAGCACTCGTACTAACACGATAGCAGTGACACTGTGCCATGCCGCCAACGGTGTGAGGATTGCCATAATGGAAGCCAAGAAAGTGCCGACGGCAAATACCAATTTGCCGCTATAAATTTCTGCGAGCCTTCCTCCTATAATTTGGAAGCAGCAATAGCCATAGTAGAAAGAACCAAGAATGATGCCTTGAGTTGCAGGTGTCCATAGAAATTCACCATCCTAAGGGTACAATATTAATGTGCTGTGTGCAAATTAATATTTCTGCAGAATAATCAAGCAATTTTAAAAGTAATTAGAGTTTATGATAGTTTATAAGAAATCAGTTGTTATTTTAATAAAAAAAGTTGTTAAATTAAGGAAAATAAGCTGGCAAATGTATTACAAAGACAGCTTTTGTCGTTGCACTGAAATTTAGGATTTCAAGTGAACATTATTATCAAAGAATAAGCGAACGAGGAATTAAGCTCAAAATTTGCGTCAGAATCAGTATCTCTACCCAGAGAGAATAAATCAAGATAAAAAATAAATAAATAGGAGCATTCAAACTACACTAATAAAAGTTTTAAATAAAGAATTCTGATTCACCTAGTGCTATAAGTATAATTTATAAAAAATTTTTATTTTAACTAAAAATGGCCTCAATCCGTTTAACCTTCAGGGATAATGGAACAAATAGTATCTCATTTAAAATTAAGCAAATCCCTAACGTTGAAACGTCTTCATATTGTTTAATTTTGCCCATAAATGCAATTAACCACGATTTTTTTTCTGAATAATTAACTCTCTTTTGAATTAACTTTCTTTGAAAAAAATTATCTTCCTCACAAATTGTTTAAATGCAACACCAAGCCCAATATGATGCTTTAAAATAGGAAGGCAATGAGTATGTCTTTTCTTAGACGCCAAAATGACCCTGCCCAAAAATTCCGGATTCTTGAAATTAAGTATTAAAATTTCCTGAATCGATATTTCAATCTTTTTTTGATATTTATTCTCGATAATGGTCGTTAAAAATCATTTTCTGACCAGTAATTAAAATTTGACTGCTGTTGTCATAAAAAGATTTTCACTAAAGAGTTTCTTATTTATTTATTCATTGTTTTTTATAGCCTTTATACAAACGCGTGTGATCTTGCCCAATACGAGTATGTGGTTTTCAAATCTGGAATTAGTTTGTTTTCTATTAATGCAGATTTTTTTAACTGACAGTTTTAGTCAATTTTTCTCTGAAATCTATAGGAATAAAAAAAATTATATATAGCAGGGAGTTACGTAAATATTGTGACAAACCTTTGGAGGAGTTAAGGCACATCACCTGGATTAAAACCGCATGAGAACCCATACCCGGAAATATCGTCGAACTAGGCTAGGGGAGCTTTCCAATTATGACCTGTTTAGAAGCACACAAAGAAACAGAACCTAGGCGTTGTATAACATTTCCGGGTATGGATTCTTGGACAACTAATGTTATGTCTAATCTTCCCTTGAAGTTTATCGCAACATTTGTGCTGCCCCCTGTGAAATATGAGGTCTTTAAGCTTGTATATTTTTACAAAAATACACAATCATTTTAAAAAAACAATATGTTGGAAAGAGAAACTGATCGCAGACTTGAAATCAGTGATACGAAGGTGCAGTTCATTCACCAGGAGTTTGCACTTCGCTCTGCCTCCTCGGACGCTGTGTTTATTTCAGTGAGGGAGTAAGAGGTGAAACATCTCCGTCCATGAAATTGAGACAACCCTTAATGCGTGCCAAACGCAAACATTGAATTCTATTGTACCTTTCGTTACTCTAGCTAATTGAATATATTTTAAATTTAAAAACTGCTGTTTTCTCAGCAAAATGTCTCACAAAGGACAAACTATTCACTCAAAGGAGAAAAATAGCATTAAATTTATGAAATAGATTATGCTAAAAAAATGCACATAAAGATTGAGAAATATTTACTTTTGTCATACGATCGCCAAACAGAAACCTTGTTCAGAATTGTTCCAGAGATGCCAACTGCTCCGGACACGCCAAAATAATGAAAAAACGGTAATTAACTACAAAGTAAGTTTGCCAAATATTTAACTATTTTTGCTTGCTTTTTAAAAGGTATAGCGTTTAATAAGTATTATAAAGTGGTGCATTATATAAGTGTTACACATTGTAACAATAATTTTTTGAGGCTCTAATAAGACTTTGAATTCTTCACACTCTTTATTGATAAGAACTTTTCACACTCCACGGTTTGTTCTAATAATGTTTTTGGACAAGACTTCAGATTTCACTCTTTATTGATAAGAACTTTTCACACTCCACAATTTGCTCTAATAATGTTTTTGGACAAGACTTCAGATTCTAATGACTATGGGTCAGGATTCTAGGAGCAGATATAGCCGAATTCCAACTCGAGGGCAGAGACACCTATATCGAGAATTGGGGAAGGAAGTATTAGAATGGTGGCAACGACAGTGAAGCGTCCCTTTTCAAGTAATTTGATACCTCAGTTGATGATGTGAGACGGTGAGGAGCGGAGGCTTCGGCCTGCCGTTGTTCTCAAAAGAACGTGGTGAAATGTGTTCGTTACAATTGAAAGAAATTATGATAGTATTCAGGATCCATTTTGATCCGTAAAATTTGTGACTGAATTCATGAGTTAAATTGATCTTAGATTTCTGCACTAATGTTTATAAAATTTGATATATACATTTTTTAATGTATCAGTGACCTCAATATGATGATAGAATAAAATTGTGTATGTAACTCTTTTGTCGTTTTCTTAGGATTATGTTTCTTTTTTTATTTCAGCTTAATTAACTTATATCTAAATTTAATATTTTTATTTCCAGAGACTCTTTATAGCTTTGTACTACCATTATAATTGTTAGTTTAACCACCACGTGTGGTAGTAAGTTTAATCAGTTAATTGCTAGGTTGTTTAGGATGATTGTATCCTATATTTTATATAATTCTATTAATACGGCTAATTTGATTAGGTTTTATTTAATGATTTTCTCATTGTTCATTAATTATATTTTACTTCAACACCATAAATTTTAATTTTTTTGTATCACCACAGCTTTAATAATAATCCTACGAATTATTTAGAAATAGTGGTGGATAAAAATCTACTAAATTGAATTCATTAAACCAAGAATCACAATTGATAAACTACCACTTTAAAATATATATTTGTTGTCCGGAGCAAGTTGGCATCTCTGTTGTTCACGTCATTCTCCCAGAACTTGCGAAATAGTTTCGACGGATATCACGTGATGTAGACGGAGCCAAGCGCCATCTCCTGGTGAACGAAATACAAGTTCTGTTATAAAATCTCATGCAAATGAAAAAAAAATAATTTACCAGTGTTATATTATTACTATTAAAATCATAAATAACGTTTCACAAGAAATTAACAATGATTGATCTAGCTCCAAGTCTCAATTATGTTTGTACAGTAAAATTTATAAAATACTCTCTAAATATTTAAAATAACTTGTTCGTGATTGCTAAGTTTATTAATTTTTGTAAGTTTTACCTTTGTATGCTTTGTACCCTCACTTGTGCTATTGAAGCCATAAATGGACGAACGACAAGACAGATCATCTGTCACAGAAAGATCAGTTTCATTGTATATTGCTGAGTTGTTGACCATGGCAATAATTGACACATTGAGATTTCCTCCTATAANGTGTAAAACCGGTCTGTCAATAGTGTTGCTTTTCAAAAGAATTAAAAAAAAAAACGGAAAAAGTGAGAAGTCTTTATCCCCTATATTAGTCCCTGAGCCGTGGTGGCTAAGAAGTTAGAGAACTCGCCTCCCGGGTTCAAATCTCAGCGATGGCTGGTCAATTCGAATTCCCCAAAAGGCTCGCACCGACCACAGTGCTGACTTAAAATATCCCCAGGGGTAAAGGAATAGGGGTTGGAGTCTCCTTGTCATCAGGCTAACCGTGGGAGAGTTTCATAGTTTTCCTTTCCACGTAACGCAAATACGGGTTCGTTCCATCAAAAAGTGCTCCTCGAAGGCAAATTTCTCCCAATACTTAATCCAGGAGCTCCCTTGTCTTCTGGATTGGGTTCAAAATTTCAAGGCTACTGGGTAAAACATTGGTAATCGTAAACCCAAAATAGGGTCGGCTGCTCAGCGACGGTTATAAAAGTAAGAAAATTGTCCTTCATCTTCTTAAGCCCAAAAAATCCGAAAATTTCGATTTTATCATAACTTATGATTTGCCTGAATTCGACGGAATTTTTTTTTTCGTTCTTAGATACTTTTCGGTTAGCCTGGTGCGAATAGACTTAAGATTTTTAAATTTTCTTATTTAATTACTTTTTTAGCACAAAACAGAATGAATCCTCAAAACTAAATTCGTAAAAATAAGTAAATAAAATGCTTGTATTTGCTAGCTTTCGGCCAATCGAAAAGTGCCATTTTTTAAATTTTTTTTTCTAAAAGCAGTCTTTTTTTATTATTAACCAATAATTAAAATAATTAAATAAATAAAGAAAAGATTCTTAGTGGGAAAAAAAGCTATTTTCTTAAGATAACAACTGTATAAGAAAAGAAAGAGTATGAATTCAAACACTTGTTTTAAAAAATAAAAGGCTTAAAGCTGAAGGATAAAATTTATTGCGTCACTTAACTATATTACCACAAATACTTGAAGTTTAGTTAATTCCGTTCATACCACTCATATCAAATTTACCATATTTTTTAGTAAAGCATTTTTCACATCGCCCCTCAGTTTAAAGTGGGTTAAATAACGCTTGATTCGAAACTAATGAGATAAATAAACAATGCGTAAATACACTTTTCATTGATATAATATCTAGGCAGATTTTAGACCGATTAAAATCTGAGTTAGGTCAATGTCAAATAAATAAACAACAGTGGAAATAGAACGATGTAAGTGAATAGTGTTGTCATCATTTTTGTATGAAAGTTTCATAAGTTTTGTTTCAAAATATTCAGTTAATAGAAAGTTAATGTTAAAATATATTTTTTCAAATTCACATCGTTGCAAATTTAAGTTGCCGTTACGATTCAATACTACCCATCAAATACATTTGCCAGCATCTTGAAATTTTGTAAGTAAAATATTAACGTAAATTGTAACTGAAATTTCAAAAGATTTTGTTTATTTTAATTTTGTGTTGCATTCATTTGTTTTAAATAGGGTCTGACTTTTTAACCTGAAAGCAATGTTTGAGCTATAAAGTTAAATATTGAGCAATAAAGTAATGAGTAATAAATAATATTGAGAATAAAGTTAAATATTGAGTTTATTTATTTAGTTTTTTGATGAAAAATTAACTACAAATATAATTACATTGAAGATTTATTGTTAGAAAATGTAAAGCCATAATAAAAGCAAAAAAATTTGTAATTAGGTGTGGTGTAAGAAATTTGTTTTAGTTATTACTGCAATTTTAAATTAAAGGAATATGAACAGCGAAAGCTCAGTGGGCAATTGCTCTGAGTTTATATTCTGAAGGACTGGAAATCGAATACACGTGATGTCTGGAAGCCCACCCAGCTTTGGATCGATAGGTACCAGCTTGTCTGGTAAGTCATCACCTCCTACATCAAAAAGCCTCCACACGGTCTTTTACAAGTAGTCCGCACAGACTATTTAAAAAGTGAGCCAGTTGTGCGCATGAACCCTAAACCTTTTATAAAATATATTTGAGAATTGAATCTGTAGTGGTTGACAAGTGAATAAGGCAAACCAATAATGTTCATAAATAAAACAAATTTATAGTCATAGATTTTATATTAAGTGATATTAAGTTGTATTAGAGTTTTATATTATTTAACTAGATTTTATATTAGTTCGGAATGTGGATATCCTTCACAGTGGTCTGATCGGACTACCTATAAAAAACCGTGTGGAGGCTTTCAGTTACAGGAGGCGCTGGGTAAGTAAAGGTAGTCGGTACGCAATTCTGAACACATTACATTCATCATCTCATTGGACATGAAAAATATTGAGCCTTAATCTCCATGACCCCTTGCCAAAAAAAACTGCTGCGGACGTGTTAAACTTTTTTATTAAGTACATAAAGATTAAAATATCTGTTTTCTCTTACTAATAAGTATTTTATGTATTTATTTAGTTCGAAACTCATTGTAAATTTCACCATTTTGAATATCTTTTTCACTTTATTAATTATCCTTAAAAATTTATTATCAAAAAGTGACGAACCACCGTCTCGTAATTCCAATGGTACAAATATAAAAGTTTAAGAAATATCTTGTTAAATCATTTTTAAATTCATCAGAGTTCCGTTGAAAACATTATATAATTATTGGTCTAATTTGTTTCAGACACAATTTAAAAGTCTTTTTTGTTACTTAATGTATCTTTTTAAATTTCGATGAATTTTAAATTTAAATGGGTACTTACAATCCAATAAAGATTGAAGAGATTACACTTAACCGTTAGATTTAAATCAAATTTAATTAGATGCCTGTAAGCGACATCACGTGTGTGTGTCGAACCTGATTGGCTTCTAAATAGGTAAATGCCATCATTTACTTACGATGACGTCACTTGCGCGCATCCAATTATCGTTTATTTTTTCAGAATTTAGTTTGCTTTATTTTTTTAAATTTTTTTTTTTAAAGAATAAGACACTTTATAAAATTTTTTGCCCAGTTAAAACTATGTTAAGTACTCACTCGCAAATTATAAATATTGAAAAAAAACGGGTTTCTAGGCCGAATAAGGAGTGCTGATACAATAGAAATTAAACAGAAATATTACAAATAAAAAAAAAAGAAATATTTCAAAATAAAAAACTATCTGACAAAGCATTAGAAAAAAATATACTATATTCTATCAATTTAATGAAATTAAATTTTGTTAATTTTTTTAATATTAAGTGGAACCTTTTTGTAATGGTAATACAAAATGAAACAATGGAATTCAAAAAAATTAGTGGAATATTTATCTTGAATCTGAAATTACTTGCATCCATGCATTTATTATCATACTTGATAAAGTCAAGAATAGTTATCTGAGATATCACACTTGCATCTAGCTGTTTTGTTTTCTGATAAATTTAGTTATCAAGATTTGTGTAAAATATGATAACAGAGTACGTTCATTTCAACTATAACTGAGATACTAAAGCAACAATACTACATATTTCCCTCATTAATAGGTAAGTTTTATAAGACATTTATATCTTATATTATATTACAGATTTTTTTTCATTTAGTAATTTTAAATCGTTTTTATAATTCTGGAGTTAATTTATGAAACGAAGCATTTTTTAAAAATTTGCACAATGTTTTGAAATTGTTTTTAAAAAATACGTTATTTTACCTGATGTTTGAGTACGCTCAAAGTAAATATTGTTTAACTATCGTTAAATAATTTCTTCGATTTCAAGTTTTAATGTTTGTAGTATTAAAATATTTTTATATAATAATAGTCATGCTTAATGAGCGAAATTAAAAATACAATATTTGAAAGGAAAAATTATGTTGTGTAATAAAATTATCTTATTAAAAGGAATCAGTAATTAATTTAATTGAAACGCTTCCTTTACTATTTGTATTTTCATAATTATAATCTTATAATCATAGCTTAATTCTAAAAGAATTATAAGTTTAAAAAGAAGTCAAATTAAGCTATTAAACTATTTATGTTTGAGAAGCTTGGTAGCAATACTATCATGCAATAGAAAAATCAACGTCAGTGACAATTGAGATTTTCATGTATCTGGCATTTCTGTATGATATGCTGCATATAGCGGGGAAATTTTTTTTTTCAAAGATTCATTTTGTTTTATCAGTTTTCTAAAATTCTGTTTTAGCGTTCATAGATTTATCAGTAGGAAGAAAATAGTTGACTTCTCACTTTTTTCAAAATCTATTGAGAAGCACATAAATTATTTTTTTTCAAATTGCATGGCAGAATAGTGTTGATTATTCATTTGTGTTGATATAAAAATTTATTAGTAAGATAGGCACTTTTTGAAAACAATACTATTGTTGAACCTTAAATTTTTTAAAGTCCTTATCTTACTTTAGTTGATCAAAAGTTAACTGTAGTCGTTTTAGTGATAGGATTTTGATCAAAACCAAAATCTATTCAAAACCAAAATCTATCAAAAACCAAAAATGCGTAACTTAAAATGTGTAATCTTAAGGCGGCTGAAAAAAACTTTCAAGATGTTTTTTCAAGCTGATAATAACCAAAGTATTTACAAAGCGTGTTCTTTACTTTAACTTTTCTTACTATGATTTGTTAAAATCCAAAAATATTTGTAGTTATATCTTAAGACTACTAAAAAAATTTAATGTGTTTTTTGAGGCCGAGAATTACTTATATAGATTTTAGGTTGACAATTGTTTTGGTACATATGGTATATTGTTTTGATATGCTTAAAAAAGCTTCAATTTCTTGAAAGGAAGAAAAAAAGAAAATTCGTGCCTTCATTCATTTCATACAATTCATACGAAAAGTCATGCTCTATTTAACTATATTATGTTGACTATATGTTATGAGCACAACAGTGTGATTATTAGTGTTATTTAATTTTCGTAGTTTATTTATTAAGTATTTTTTCATATATCTTCTAATTAACAATAAATATTTAATTATAGCTTTAAATTAAAAAATGCTCTTTTTGGGAAAATTTAAATCTTTATTTAGTGGATTTAGGGGTGTGCAAGTGCACTTGCATGACTCTTTTTGAGATAATTGTTTACGCCCCCTATAAATCCGGTGTATTTTTATGAAAAAAAATTAAGAATCGATATTTATCTTAATTATTGTATTTATTGTACTATTTATTAACTATTGTGTGTTTATACTATTTATTAACTTTTGTATGTTTATACTATTTATTAACTATCGTGTGTATGATACTATTTATTAACTAATATATGTATTAGACTATTTATTAACTATTATGTGCATTATACTTTCAAACTTTTAATAGCTTGGTACGTATAAGTTTTCAATGAAGAAATACTGAAGAAAATGTCTAACAGTTTTGGTCTATGTACGTCCATATTACTTAAATAGGAATATGCTAATTACTATATTTTAGTGCTTGTTGGGCGAGTGATTCGATCATGATCAACGAAGCGATTCAATAGAAAATGAGAAATCTGTTACAGGATTGATGAGTAGAAACTTAGTTAATCTTGTTTTTTGATGTAATGAACTTTTTAAAACTTATTTTGCTTAATAACGAAAAATCACTCACTAAAGGTAATAAATAAAAACATGAGAATTGTTTTCTGGTTTGCTTGTTTTAAATTATGGAGGAATATGCCTTTCAATTTTGTGCCTGGATGCCGAATATTACTGATTAATTGATTTTTTTTTTTTTTTTGAATGAAATTCGATTTACGATTTTTTCAGCTGTATGTTTAATTCAGAGACATTTAAAAAATAGAATTTTATCCTCGGCATTATGGAAGCCAAAGTTTTAAATTAAATTGTAGACGATTTGAGTAGTATTTATTTAAGTATTGTTTTTTCTCCTTTTGATTATATTATCTTATTTAAAGCATGTAGCGTGAATGCATCAGCTGCCGATAAGTTTTTCCGTACACTGTTTTCGTTCCAGTTTTCCAATTAATGCGGGCACACGCCATCTGCTGTAAGATTTTTAAGTTAAATGCCAGATCGATTATTGCTATCAAAAAAACTCCTACATTTAAATAGTTTGTTAGTTTTGCTAAATACCTTTTCAAAACAAATAAAAGAAGTAAACTTATTCAGGTATGCTTTTTTTCATAGCTTGATTGAGAAGATATTCAAGTTTTATAAATCTTATTAAACTATTTTAAATAAATTTTAATTCAGTTTATTAAATAAAAACTTTTTCTATAATAATATAATAATTAATAATACATTTAATGAATACTTTTACCGAAAAATAACAGGAATAGGTAGAAAAGTATATCATTTTTTAAAAATTATTCCATTTTTTTTTTTGTTTATTAAGTTTTTCAACAAATAAAAGAAGTAAACTTCCTCAGATATGCCTTTTCATAACTATAAGAATATATTTAAACCTTATCAGACTTATTAAACAAATTTTAATTCAATTTATACAATAAATATTTTTGCTGTAATATTATAATATAATATTATAATATAATATTATAATATAATATTATAATATTATACTATTATNAATATCATAATAATAATATAATTAATAATATATTCAATGAATACCTTTACTGAAAAATGTTTGCAAAATTTACTTTGTAGTTATTTACAGTTTTTTTTATTATTTTGACGTGTCCGGAGCAATTGGCATCTATGAATATAGCCTTTTTCCATGGAACAAAAGCGCAGTATATCAAAATTGAAACCACCAGAAGAAAAGACAATGTTCTATTGTGTATTCAAGTGTATATTTTTACATAAAAAGATTTTTTTTTGGTTGGTTTTTCTCAAAAAATCTGTGCGTTAAGGGGTGAGATTTACAGATATACCACATGCGACTAAAAACGTAAACAGCAGTAGAAACTAAATCCTTTTTTTTATTTTTTTTATTAATTCTTTAATTATTCAATCGTTTTATTATGCATTTCAAATTATTCATATTCAAAGCAAATGCGGTTTTTGCAGTTTCTTTCAATACTTAACTGATAAAATTATGCTATAATAAGCTGCTAATTTTGATCTCGTGTTTAAATTTTGAATTTTATTATGTTGAATTTTGAACTTTAATTTTGAATTTTATTAGTCACAACGTTATGCATTTTTAGACTGGTCAGCTTGACATTTGGGTCGGCTGTTCTATGAAGGTTATAAAATAAAAAATAAAAAATGAATTTATGTTACCTTTGTTATTTTTTTTATTTATTTATTTATTTATTTATTTTATTTTTTTTTATATATAGTTTCATGCATTTTTTTGTTTTTGTTTTCTATTATTACAATGTTCAACAATATATGACGTCTTATGATGAGCAAAATAATTTATGATTGTAATACCCCCTTTTTTTTTTCTTTTTTTTTTAAATTTCTATTTTAAATTTATTGTATTAATTTTCTTTGTCGCCTGGACAGGATTTTCCTCTTGGCGACGAATATATATTCTTTGTATTTATGTGTTTTTGTTCTCAATAAAGTTATATTTGTTTGTTTGTTAAAAAAGGCTTTATAGATTGATAGCAAGTTAAATCGTAAAACTCGTAGAATAAGGATAATTACTCCCACTTTTTAAAAGTGTCACTAAGAGAAAAACTGCTGTAAAGTTGAATTTCATATAATATTTACAGTATTTCATAAGATAGAATTTTTGATATGTATTTTAGGAAAAAAAAATTTTAATAAAAAATATTAAAATACAAATGACTAAACTTTTACTACCGCTAGGAAACATTCTTTTACAAAGCGGCGCAAATTGGCACCAGTACAAACTTTGCTACCACTTTAAAATTTTTACAGGCATTTGGGAGCTAGTGTACTCATAAATACAATGGTAGCATTTAAGAAAGATTTTTATTTTTATATTTAAAGTAATGGTCGTAAAATTTTCGCTTTTCCATTTCAATTTCTATATTATAAGTTTAATAATAATAATTTTTACCATCACAACAAATGTCTAAAACGCACAAATTTAGACATTTGTTGTGACAATTTGTTGTGTGTTATCAAAAAGTCCACACAAATTTTTGATAATTAAATGATACTGTGATGAAGTTTCAATAAAATATAAAGATTTAATTTTATAATAGATTTTTTTATTGCACATTTCATTGTAACTTCGGAAAATCACTCTTAGATGGTTTAAAAGTTGGCATGTACAAAAATCATTTTCCAACCATTAACAATATAAGGTGAAACTTACCAAGTTTCGACATGTTTACAATATCTATTAAAAGAATACGAAATAAAGAGTCTTGTTACTTTCATACTTCTTATAAAAAGAAAGTCGAAATGAAAACATTTTTCTCAGACAAACGTGAGTCTAACATTTAATGTTACCACAGCTGACTGCGATTTGTATTTAAACAGATTTATAACCATTGTATGGTGATGGCGAAATATTTAGAATATTACGAAATATGTAGTTTTTAGCGATAATTTGTTTTTCTCTTTTTTAGCTACAAAATTCATTAATAGCAGAAGAAGAATGTAAGAAAAATATTTGTATAAAAAGTAAGTATGCAAATGCGCTTTGACTTATTAATTAAGATAAAAACAGTCAAGTACTTTAACTAATGAAATCGCGGAATTATTATACATTTATTCACATTTTATCAAATCTAGGAATCTATTATGGCATTTTTAGGGTTTTAATTAAAATTTAGAAAATAAGTTTAAAAATTTATTAAACCACTTTGAAACATTTCTTGATAATATAATCTATTTCTTAATTGGGGAATAATAAATTTGCCTTCCTTTTTCTATTTGATAAAGTATGTAGTAAAAAAAATATTTATGCTTAGAAATTATTGTATTGTCACTTTGCAGCTTAGAAAAAATACTGATTACTGATTGCATTACAGGTTAAATTTAGTTAAAATACATATTTAATTTCAACTTTATTTCAAATAAACTTTCATAGCGATAGTGTTGTAATTAAATTATACATTTTCTAACCATTAATTTTTCTCCGATACTAAATAAAAACAAGGAAGTTTTTTTTCTTCTTTAATTTCTCTTAATTCAGAAACTGAATAAAAACAAGGAAGACTCCAAATATTTGATTTGTAAAAGAAAAGCTTAACCATAAAATGTACTGATTTTGAAACCCTCAATTAAGTCTAATTATAAGTAAAATTACGTATTAGCTGCTCTGTTATTAATTAATACACTTTTCTCCCCAGAATTCGAATTAATTGGTGTATTTATAATTTATTGCCAAAACAGTTTATAATGGGGTTTAATAGATACTCAGAAAGTTATGGATATATAGGTTATGGGTACACAGAAAGATATGCAAACTATATATCAGAGAAAGTGAAACATTAAACAAAAATAAAAGTTAAAAGTGGTGATTTAAATTGAAATTAATCATTATAATGGTTATTTATTAAATGGTGTGACATCCGAGAATATAAATTAAAATTTATAAAGTACTTTTTCTTAATTAGAGAATTTATAGAATTTATCTATCTAGTATTAACTAGAAAGAAGCATACTATTGATAAAACAAACAAAAAATTATCAAATATTTTCCTAACCAAATCAAATAAAATATCATAGATTTTCGATTAACTAGTCAATAATTTTTCTCCAATGCCTACCTGGACCTTTCGTCATATAGGCATCTGAAGGGCAGATTTGTTAGCCACTATTTCAGGAACATGATATTAGGTGGGCCAACGTTGCTCCCACAGTAAGTACACATAGTACAGAGAATGAAAGAACATCCATGCCTTGCGCGGAATTCGAACTTAGAACCTTTTGGATGCAAGGCCAGTTTGGATACAAGTTCCCTGTACCCCACACTAGTTTGTCTTTATTAAAATATGCTAGTATTTTAATATTTTGACTGCCTTATTGATTTGCACACAAATAATCTAAGAAAGCTTTATAAATCTTTTTAGGTATATAGCAATGTTCCGTCTTTCTGTAGTGTTAATGAAGGCAAAGAAAAATATTTAAAATACACTTTAAAAAGGAATGTCAGAGACAGAAATGACAAAAAGTGAAACAATAATATTTTACTTAAGCTTAGTTAAGCAATATAAACTCATCGTCAGTTTTTTTATAAGTGCTTAAAAAGATTATTATGCAATTATGAAATACAATAATCTACCAAAATGAAATATCATAGAAAAACAGAAAAAGTCGTGCAACAGGGAAAATTGTTTTTAACGGTAATCTAATTTTGATGCACAATTATTTAACTTTTAGCATAAAAATCACACTTACATGTGTAGAATTAGATGATGAGATATTTATTCGTTTTTATTTTATTTAATGTATATAGCCTTCTAGTAGAGTAGCCCATTTAATAATATTTTTTAAAGTAAGGGCCACTAGTCAGCTAAGAGATAGCTAAGGCAGAGTTGTGAAAATATAATAAACGTTCTTGAAAACTATAGTTACCTTACTTTTACTGGCTGAGAGAAAATTATAGTTACCTAATGACTTTAACATTTAGCTACAAAAATACATAATATGAATATTTAACCTATTTTGTAATTCCATAGAAAATTTACTTTAGGCATCAGAAGACACATTTTACTCATTCAAATGAAACTGTTAAGTTGAAATGTTTTTGAAACAGTAAATTGAGTGGATTTAAAATGTGTAATTTAAAAATTTTTAAAGGAATTTTTTTTTCAGAAACCTTAATTGAATGAAGGCATAAATATTAAGGGACCGGAAAGTAATGTCGTTTCGGTGTATTTGACATTTGTTCTCGAGATTTTATTTTTAATCAATAATTTATTCACCCTCTTTAGCAACAACCTTTCAATGCCATATCGAAAAAAAATGAATTGGTTTTTAAGATTAATGAATATTTAAATCGCCAAAACGACATTACTTTTCGGTCCTCCTAATAGAACGGAGAGTAAACTGAATGCAAGAAAAATAAATTGAGTGAAGGTACTTTCCAGAGAATAGTCTATAAGATTTTTAACTGATGATGTTTTAAATAATAATTTATTTCATATTATTTATTATTACTTTTGTTTTTGCCTATTATAATATTTTTGTAGCTTTAAACAAGCATCCATGATAACAAAAGAACTTATTTTGAATTATAGAAGTGTACCTTTAAAGATTCAAATTATGGAAGAAAAAAAAGGATTTCGTAAGTTTAAGTTTATATTTATATTGCCCTTGAAAATTTTTGTAATTAAATTCATTGCAGAAAAACAAAGTTACAAAAAATATTACATAAGAGATTCATCATAATAGTCTGAATTTTAATATTCTACGAAACTATATTATTAAATATTTTTAAGTCGCACCATTCTTTTTAAATATTTTACATTATTTAACGAACAACATTTATTTGTAGCACAATATTATATCAAAACAAAGGATATGGAATACTTTGTACTATCTAGACTAAAGCACAATTGAAAATACATAAATGGACATACTATAGTTTCAGTTCTATAAAAAATAACCGTCTTCTGTGTTTGAGCACCAAATGATCATTTGGTGTTTAGACGCAACGGAACGGTCATGCACTATAGTTAGACTGACATTCCGATCAAAGTCCCTTTAGTTAGATACCAAGTTTTAAATAACAGTGATGGCTGAATATTTGGCATACTCTTGGCGGATTTTATCGAACACATTGCTAATGAAAAATATCCTCAGTGATAAACGAATCATGGATAATCATGGTTCTCTAGCCAACGGACTGGTTCTCACCCTTCCTTATAACAGCAATACCTCAGCGAGTTTCTGTCAACGTATGACTCAGGAGCTCTCTTGTCTATGGGGTTAGANTGTTTGCTTTGCGAATGTATTACTAATTTCGGATGAGGGGGAAAGGGAAAAGGATGTTATGGAAAAGTGATATTGCATTAATCGCTTGGTTGTATTTATTTGAGTAAGGTCGAGTTTATTCTTTTTTCGCTTTCGTTTCCCGTATGTATTTGGTGCTTTTTATTATTTCCATCAACGTCTTCAAAGAAAAATGCATCGCGAAAATGTGCTGTTGGTTCAAGAAAAAAAATCAAAAAAAAAATCCCGCTATCAGTGCGATGAATGTGATGTGTCCAACCATGTTTCAGGATTTATCATACAACAGCTAAGTTTTAACATCTTTTATATTGTATTTTTATTATTTAATTTAAATTTTGTATTTTCTTTCTTTCCTTTTTCTTGTCTTGTAAAACTAAACTGTTTTTAAATTGCAAAGCGTGTATCATTTTCCCCCACCAAAACACCGTGTAAGGAACTGCACTTGAGCTAAAAACGGTGGCACTGGGGAGTGAATCACGTTAATTTCACTCGGCAGTTAAGGGGTTAGTTAGACACCAAGTTTTAAATAACAGTGATGGCTGAATATTTGGCATACTCTTGGCGGATTATATTGAACACGTTGACAATGAAAAATATCCTCAGTGATAAACGAATCATGGTTCTCTAGCCAACTGACTGGTTCTCACCTTTCTTTATAACAACAATACCTCAGAGAGTTTCTCTCAACGTATGACTCAGGAGTTCTCTTGTCTTTGGGGTTAGACCCAAGATTACAAAACCGTTATGCTGATCAACGCTCGAGACAAAAAATAACGTTTTATTTTAATATTTCGTTTATTTACTCAGTATGTGGAACATTTTGAAATGACTAACTTTTCGTGACACTGCAGCTCTTTAGTTTGCAGTGTGCTTCGTATGAAATTTAAGTGGCGTGAAAGAGCTAGTACATGTTTACCTATAATTTTAGTTCAGCAGGCGTGACTTATTAGCAAAACATCTTATTGAGTGGTACACAACTAACTACCAAACCTTTAAGAAGTTTTGATAATTTCGCTAACATTTTTAAAGCTTTACCTTCATAGAGCAGGTAAAAAGTGGCGTTGCATATAAACTTTTAAATCATTTATATGCAGGAGTGTGGAAATAAATTTAAATGAATAGAGAAACATAAACATTGAATAAATTTTTGGCGAAAAGTGTAGTAAGTTGGCAGCCCTGGTTCAATAATCATTTTACTACCATTAACGAAAATTACACTGGGGAACGAAATTTGGTTACATTTAACAAAGTATTTGATTTTAATTAATTCGGATGTGGAATTTCAAATCTGAAATTAGTTTTGTTCTTAAAGTTACAGATTTTTTTTCAAGGCTATTTTAAGTTAATTTAATTTTTTGTGTGATCATGCAAGTTAGCAAGTTAATAAATAGCTTGCAGAGATTAGCAAATTTGAAATGCAGACTGTAGAAGATTAAAAATCAGCTACTCAAAAATGACTAAGATCCGTTCAAAATTCGCATGTAAAATTTGTTCCCTAGTAATAGTACCCCCCAAGCAGAGGTAATAAAATTTTTTCGGCCTACTTTAATTTGCTGAATTTTTCTACATTCATTTTTAACATACTTTTCAATAAGTCTCGTTGTTGTTTTATTTTTAAGAAATGCCTGGAATCCGGTACTTGTTTTCAACTGCTGGTTTTCTTGGATTTTGCACCATTTATGCCATTAGAGTGAATATCAATGTTGCTATTGTAGCAATGGTAAATGGTACAGCTGTCTACAAAAGTGACAATGCGACAACATCCGATGAATGCAAAGTGACACCTCCTCCCTTCAGTGACAATTCTTCTTTATACGACGTACCTAAGGTAGTGTGCTCTTTACTTCTGCCTAAATTGTTTACTTTTCAACTTTTTAAAAAGATCGCAATGGTGAATGTTTAAAAAAAATTCGCCTTCTTGTCAATTTTCTAACAACTACTTCCAGACTCAACCAAAAATCTTAATCATCATCCTCCTTACTGGTTCTACAGCCCAAGATGGGCCCTCGAGAGAATTCTTTTCCATCTTGACCTGTTTTCAGCAATGGTTTTCAATACGAAGAATTTCTTTTCTACAAAATTGAATAATTTGATCTTAACCAGAAAAGGAAAATAACAGTATGCTTTGTTAATAGAACTACCAACTACAATACTTTTTGAAAAAAATTTTGTAAAGTGGTAGATAATTAAAAACTAAAGCACTTAGAATTTTTGTTTATTTTAAAACCCTTACCATAAGAATTTGTTCAAAGTGGGTTTCATAGAAACTCTTTGAATCATTCATAGGAAAAATAAATTTAAATCAAATTTACAAAGCAAAGAATAAAGCATTAAAACTTAAACTTAGCTACCACTAGAAGAAAATTTCCTAAAAAGCGTAGAAAGTTTGAAGCCCTGTGTATTTGTTTATATATAGAAAAAATACCAATTACTGGATGGGATAGGCTGGTTGGCAGGTTGTTGGGCTCACGTTTGATAGAAAGGGAGTTCGAATCCAGGTGGCCGAACACTCCCCATGCAGTAAATGGTGATTAGTGCATGTTAAATCTATCTGGTCACAAAGTCTTCCGCGTTCACATGACTAATGAATACCAACAAATCAATACCTCTGGGGGTACTGAATTGGAGATTCTCTGATTCAGGTCAAAATTACAATCTGCTATAAAAATAAGAATCAGAAAAATTCGAGGTAATAAGGTTGAAGAATTAGAATATTTAAATATTAGTTGTACTTCGCATTCGGCTTGATTACCATTAAAGATTTTAAGGCGCAGAAAATAATTTTGAAAGTTGACAAGGCTGACAAAAGTAGCTAGCATATTAAAAAAATGATAATTTTCCAAAGGAAATTTCTATGCATCTTGGACGTATTCAAAGTACAACTAAAACAAATATTCACTTTTTTGTGTTGCAAAATTTTCTGGAATGTTTTTCCTACGAAAATTAAAAATCACGTGCTTTTTATTTTCACTATAGAGACAGTCGTGACGCACTACGATAAATAAACTTTTGTTATCTGCGTTAGCTTCTTGATAAGAACTGTACAATAAATTACTCTACTAGCTGATTCATCTCTTTCATTTTAAATTTCTGATCACTATTCTGATAAACTTTGTTTGCATTTTCAACAGCATGGTCTAGAAGGTTGGTTTTGTTTATACTCTAAAAGAAAACAAACAAATTCTTGGAATACAAAACTTTTATATGTTAAATTTATCACATTTTAACAGAAGAAACAAAAATTTATTTTCCTCTACTTAAAGGGAGTGTCCCATATTCATACAGTATTTGGATATTAAGTGGTAAAAAAATAAAAAATAAAAAAGACTTAGTGACAGCTGCCAACTTGCACGGTCATTTTATAAGATTTTACAAAGTGGTCCTATAACACTGGAAAATACATTTTTTATAGAATTTGCAAGAGTACTTGATTTTACCTTATTCCGGTGTGAGGATTTTAAATCAAAGATTATTTTTGCTTGGAAAGCTACAGATTTTTTTTTAAAATTGCATATTTAGTAAGGTTTAATTTTTGTTTGAATGTGCAAGTGCATGAAGAACGAATAGGTTTATATATATGCATATATACTTGCCTGATTTTTTTCAAATAACATTCAAGACAAAAACCCTATGACCTTAACGTATCGCATCATAATCTAATATGTACTATCGTCTTTTTCTTACCACTCCCTACTTTTTAGAAAAGTGGGGACAGTAGACAATAAATGAATTTTAAGCAGATTTAAACTGCATAATCAAATTGCATAAAGTCTGCAACTTGATAGAAACCGATTGCAGATTTAAAATCGGTGCTGAGAAAAGTTGCCATGATCTGTTCATAAATATCACGCAACGGAAAAAAAAAATGCTCCCCAATGAAATAGTTAAAGTTTAATAAGTTCACTAAAAATTAAGTAAGCTCAACCACATTTAAAAATACTACGGCTGATTACTAGACCTGATAAGCTCCTTACAACTGTTACGGAATTTCCGTATTTTTAGAAAATAACTTTTCAGTTTTAGCATAGTTAATAAGAATTAAAAGAACTTTTTAACTGCCCCCTATTATTAATTTAAATAAACATATTAATTAAATTTACATAGGGTCATGTTATGTTGAAAAAAATATTTCACATGTACGTCAAATGTCACTCAATAACTATCATAATTTTAATCAAGTATTGTTTTGGTTTTTTTTCGGAATTTGCGATGTTGATTTTTGTATCGTTGACTATTATATTCTTTAATTCCAGTATGACCAGAATTCGAATTTTTTAATATAATATTTTCATATTTAAAATATTTTTTAACTTTCTTATTAATTTCAATATCATTTATTGTATCATAATTTTTTTAATAACTGATTTATTATAATCTTCACGCACACATTTTAAACACTTCAGAATTTTGAATTTTTTCTCTCTTACTTGAATGCAATTTTTCTTTAATTTTAGTTTTTGTTGTTTACGTATCGTTTATACTCATGTTCGAAAATGTTTATTTCTAATTAATATAAGTTGCCTCTGATTCCGGCTTTGTAGCCTGTTAGTGGCCTAAAAAATTTTTTTTGTAGAAAATTGTGAAATTCAAGATTTTTGTTGTTATTTCTCAGAAACCTTTTTAGCTTATATATATATATATATAGGCANCCCAATCTATATATATATATATTGCTCAAACTTGGTATTTTACCATTAAAAATTACATCTTTTAAAGTGATGTATCAAAATTTTATACCTTACAATTCAAAACTTTTTGGATCATTATTAAATAAAATAATTTAAAGAAAATATTTTCAAACAATTATATATTTCATAAAATTATGTATGGATAAACGAATGTTATAGTCGTCTGAAAAAATATTTCTATTTGCTTAAAAAGTTCTCGAGATATGGAGAAACACCGGGGAAAAAAATGGAATTAACATTAAAGAGCCCAAACTATGGACCGCTCTCTTGACCAAACTATGTGGACAATATTTTCTTGATTACAGCTACATCTTATATATCGAGGATCAGTAATTCGAGTCGGTCGTAAAAAAGGTATGTTTATTCAGAGAAAATACTTTTTGTGTCTGATTTCATAACTTATTATATCATCTACACTAATTAATTAGCATATTTAAGGTCACCCTTATGAGCCATTAAGATTGAGTCCTAGAACAAGAAGTTCGATCATTTAGATCAAAAGTTATTCAGGGTGGTTCGTTTATTTATTTTATTTTTTTTGCTCTCTGCACATTGTATATATAATTCTTTTTTCAGGAAGGTGAGTTCATCTGGTCCCCTCAATTACAGGCAGTTGTTCTCGGGGCATTTTACTACGGTTATTGTATTTCCCAGATACCCGGTGGAAGGCTGGCTGAAATATTCAGTGCAAAATGGGTTTTTGGAATTGGCACATTCATCACTGCTCTGCTCACATTGCTAACGCCTGCCGCAGCTCGCATGCATGTAGGTGTTCTAATTGGCATTAGAACCCTTGAAGGACTAGCACAGGTATGAAGCTGTTATCTATAAATATAAAAAATGAAATATCTAAAAGAGACAAACTATTTATTCACTGCATAAATTAATAAAAAAAATATAAAAAAAAGTGCTAGCGCTCAATAAAACTAATATACTATACTACATTATTTCTAGAAATTCTTTTTATAATATAATATAAAATTTTGCCATTTAGAGACGTAACCTTTATGGTATGAAAAGTTTATTACTTAAAGCAATGGTTGAACCAAGTGCTTTGACACTTGGAATGCTTTGACCGAATGCTTTTATTTTATTTTATAACTAGGAGGTTCCGCCCCCTGCTCGCTAACGCTCGCCAACCCCCGNGATGCTTTGACAGAATGCTTTTATTTTATTTTACAATGGGTGTTAAGCGGTCAACCCAATTCTGAGAGTACGACTATCAATGCTCAATTCCGTAGCCTTATAATTTTTAACCCAACTCAGAAGAAAAGGGAACTCAGTGAGCAATAATATCTTGCTTCCCAATAATTCCTGCTTGCAATAATATCTTTTGCTAATAATGAAATACTACGTTTTATTTTATGTGAATTCAAGAACCTGGCCTGTGGGTCTCAGAAGTATGGCCAAAACTTCAAATATCACATGGAACTGAATAGAAAATTTAATACAATCATAACTATTAAAAATAATTTGACAATTTTAAGCAACATATCTAGTTTTGAAAACTTTCAGTATATAATTTCGAAACAAATATAAGCAATTATTTTCAATTTTTATGAGAAGTTATTGAGTATATTCATGAACTTGAAAATCTAGGCAAACCTGGGTATATTTATTAAGGCTTTTTTCGTCTAAAGTAATTTATTAATTTCTAAAGCTTAGAAAATTTATATTTCTCTGAATATTTTTATGCTTTGAATAGCCGATTCACATCGGATTTGCGACTATAAGCCTTTCTACTCCGCATATATGTGTTGTGAGTCCACTCCATTGGGCAAGGCAACTCTTGAATCATTTATTGAGACAAATTCCCGTTTGTGAATAACTTTTGATGGTTCTAACGCGAGTTTACCTTTTGAAGTTGTTTTACTATCATTTTATAATATACTTGGAGTGATGAGTGTTAGCTATTCAGTAACTGTGTGTATAATTTTATTTCATTCATAGTATTTAATTCCAGGGAGTCACGATGCCAGCAATGCATTCCATGTTGGGACGGTGGTTACCAGATTCAGAAAGAGCGTTTTTGTCTACGATAGTATATTGTGGAATCAACGTAGGTACCGTTTCAGCAATGCCCGTGTCTGGTATTCTGTGTAATTCAGATATATTTGGAGGGTGGCCCTCTGCTTTTTACATCGTTGGTATGCATCCTTATATTTTCAAATTTTAATGCTAAATATTTCTAATTATACCCATTTTTTCAGTCAAAGAAATTTCGAAGACTTTGTGTTTTTGTAAGAAATGAGCCTTTATGAAGAATACAGTGTGCCTCATGAAATAAAGCCACTTTAATTTTGAGTCATAACTGGACACAAAGAAAACCAATGAGGACCGAACACATATATTATGAAAGTTTATACCCAACCACATATTTACAAAGAGTAACTCAATTCCTGCCCCATCAAAATTCGAATAAGTAAAAAAGGAAGGAAGAAAGTGTACCACCGAAATAAAATCATTACTTTTAATGGTCAATGTATCGATCAGGTTTAGATATGTAGCATTACTATTTTTCTAGGCTTCAATGGTGGTAGTCTTCAAATGTGCCATAAACTGGAACTGCTCCTTTTTGGTATACATAAGAATAGCCCTTCAAGTTTTCTTGGAGATAGATGATGGAAGAACGGATCATTCATGATAAGCTTCCTATTATTCAAAAACAACCTCTGTGATGATTTTCCAGCGTATACACTCTAAAAACTGTACCTCTGATTTCAGAGGCAAATTTGGATCGTTTGTGCCTCAGAATTTAAAGGGCACAACGTACCTTTAAAAATGAAAGGCACAATATACCTTTGATTTCAGAGGCAAATTTGGATCGTTTGTGCCTCAGAATTTAAAGGGCACAACGTACCTTTAAAAATGAAAGGCACAATGTACCTCTGATTGAACCGCTGTACCTCTCATTGAAACAAGCATTTAGTGGTACCAAAGCCTGTTATTTGAACAAAATTTTTTTACCTATTTGTAATTTGCTAGCACTTCATATAAAAAGGGATTTTCTATTTGGTTTACATTATTACCAAAATATTAATTATAAGAATTCTTAACGAAAAATATTTCTCAATTTTTTGAATATTGGCCACTCGAAAGTGATCATTTCAAGGGATTCCATCTAAGGCTTTTTCATAGGCAATTATAAAATACGTAAATTTTTAAATTTTTTTTAATTATGTAGCGTTTGATGATACTTCAACAACTACAATGATGCTTTTCTAATCATATATAGGTACAAAAAGATAATAGTTATTTCTGTTAAGCCAAGTCAACATAATTCATGGACTTTTTTTTCTTTTCCAAAAAGCATCCTCAAAATGGAAATTTATTATAAATTTAGATATTTTTTAAATATTTAGAGATTTCATAAAATAGTTTTATAAGGATCAAAAATTAAACACCAAATATCATTAAATCTAATATCTTTTATTTTCACACATAAAGAACAATTTTACATAATTTAGTAACAGTTGCAATATGATGTATACAGTTTCACAAATATGGAAAAACATAGAACTTACATAGAATATTTTAAAATGATAGATGTAGTTTTTAACAACTTGGCTATTTTATAACATGAAATATGTTTAATCAAATGACTTAACAAGTGTAAAATGAAAGATTTCTTTCCATTGAAGTGAATTTTTTTTAAATCCAGATTTTGGCGAAGCATATTAACCCGTTAGGNATGAATTTTTTTAAAATCCAGATTTTGGCGAAGCATATTAACCCGTTAGGCGCCATCATTCCCATTTTGGGAACATCAGCTTTCAATTTTTTTAGAACTAACTGTACTTAATATTATTTAATCGATGATTTTATTTGAGTTCAGAATATATGAAAAGCCTTCTGCAAATTTTTTGGAAAGCTTGTTTCAGAATTTGTTTTTTATTGTATTTTAAAAAACGTGAAATTCTGCATTTTTGTCCCAATCATTAAACATGCATTTGTTTTATAAATATTATTAAAATAAAAATTACTTTCGTGCTTAAACTTGATTACAACAATCGGATTATAGTCGGATTGAGGATTAATAAAATTCAAACTTCTATCGTAATTCTCTTTTCTATAATCCGAATTTCGATGTCTACAGCATTTCTTAAAATGTCCAATTTCACCACAATAGAAACATTCACGTTCAGATCTAAATTTCTTCACAATACTTGGTGAATTCCATTTCTCATTAAAATGTTCTTTCTGGCGATCGTTATTACACGGAATATCTTGTGGATCATACTGAAAATCGGCAATGAGATTTTCTTTAAAGTAATAATAATTATCATCATAAATTTCTAACCTTTCAGCAGGAATAAGCTGTAAAGCACACGAAAACCAAAGATCGAAATTCACACTAAATCTCTTCGCTTTCTGTTCAAAGAGTTCGAAGTACCGTCGATTTCTACACTTCGTGGCATCAACTTTAAACATCTCATTCACTAATTTTTTCTTAAGTAGGAAATCCATAATAACAATAATATTTGTCACCAATTCTTTCAAAAACTTAATAAAACATGTCTGGAACGGATCCCACCGCTGCCACCAATTAAATACATAGCTGTAGCGTATTAAGCTATATTAAAGAACTGTTCTATAAAAACATTTATTTCACACCACAACAAATACAATAACAAATATAAAGTACCCGTAACGGGATAGTTAAATCTTATAAAGGAAACTAGAAAAAGTGCCCGTAGCGGGATATATGAAAACTCACCCGTAACGGGATAGATAAAATATCATAAAACAAACTAGATAAACCCGTAACGGGTAATATGAAAAATCAAATTCCACACAAAACTAATTCTAAAAAATCAACATCCTTCTGGTGTTCTAATTTTATCGTCTGCTTTTATTATTTGTATTTCGTCATAAAATATTTCATTGATGTGCGCATGCGTTTCTTCTCCGTTACATCATACCGAAGAAAAAGAAGGGAAGCCCATTTGAGAGGCACAAGGAAGCGGTAAAATCCTTTCGTACCGAGCATTGACTCGCGTTTGTTTTGGTACCTTTAGTTTCTTGTGGTGCCTGTCATTTCTAAAGGCACATTAGTTATGTGCCTCTAACGCGAGAAAATAAAGGGTACATTTAGCTTGTACCTTTTATATAAGAGGTACTGTTTTTAGAGTGTATTGTGGCATTGTCCTACTGAATAATCTGAATTGTGCCACTATTTCTCTTTACAAATCGTAATAAACGGGTTTAGCGTCTTTAGTTAATAGGTAGATTTTCTAAGTGGCATAGAGGGGAGGCTAGATTAAGTGTACCACCGCAGCCTAATCCTTCCCTAACTATTAAGGAGTTTGCACATTGCTATCCATTAACGATGATTTTTCTCTGTTCTCTCGTCGTCAGATTCATTTTATTTACAGTACAAGAAATTTGCGACATTGAACAGTATCTAAAGTTAAAAACTATCTGCAGGAATAGAAAAAAATGATTGGCGCAGACAGTGTTGTGTGCTATTGCTACCGAACTGGAAAAAAAAAATGGTTTGCTTTCTTTCAAAAAATAGGAAGCTCATTTAGTATTTGTTAAAGCTATATAGTAGTAAACATAAACTCAAACTACATCTCCCTCACAGCGCATAGAGTCTACCGATTAGCAAAAGACGTGAAACCAATTTATTGTAATTTGTAGGGAGAATTGTTGGTGCAAGTCAGGTTTACGTGGAAAAATGGTGGTCTTGGATAACAGGGTGCTTTTCATGAATGACCTTTCCTTTCATTTTGTTTCTCTCTTCTATCTAACATTCAGACCTTGGAGAAAGCTGAAAATGAAAAAGTTGAATTTCTCGTTGCTCAAAATAAATTTCACAAAAGTAAAATAAATTTTAATTGATTTTTCTGTCTAAGTAACACAAATGCGGGTTATTTCCATGGAAAAAAGAGACAGTCTATGGACTTGAACTTTGTCATTCGTAAGTTCAAAATTGAGTTGACTGTTCATTGACGTTTATAAAATAAAATTTAAATAAGAGAGAAATCTGTAAAAATGATTTCCCTAATACTTTTTTAGTTTTTCTCGTTTGTGACCGATTTGTCGTTAAAAATTTTGAGCGCGTTGAGACAAATTTCTTAAAAAATCGCATTATTCAAGTTTTTTAAAAAGGAAGAAAAATTTAATTTTTATGGCACTTTCGAAACCATGATATAGTGACATACTTTTTTTTGTATTTTGTTTCGCAATTATTTTCAGGAATTTTTGGATGCATTTGGTTTCTACTATGGAGTTTTCTTGTAACTGAAACACCCCATACCCACCCATGGATCTCAAAAGAAGAACTTAAACATATTACATCAGACCAAAAAATTGAACTGAAAGACGACGTAAGCATTATTTTGAAAACTTTCAAAATATGAGTATATATGAAAATTATGTATCTAATTTATAGATTATAATGTCCACAGAGCTGCTTATTACTCAAATAAGAAGAATACAGTAAGTAAAAAAAGTGTTCCTTCATTTTGAAAAGACCTAGACAGACCAGATTAGCTAACACAGCTATAATGTATATATTTACACGAGTAATGGCGTATATGCACAATTTATTAAAGTTAACAGCTATGATTTATTTAAAAGTAGTAAAAAAGCTACAATTGTAGAGATGACAATTTTCTCCACTTTGTAAAAGAAATATTTTCGAATGGTAACGATATTTTATATTTAGTTTAGTTTTTTTTATATAAAGTAGTTTTTCCACCACTAAATGTCAAAAATTTGAAATGTTACTTTATAGCAGTATCTCGTGGTGAACTTTTAAAGAGTAAGCGTAATTATCCTTATTCTTTGCCATTTAATTTGCCACCAATTTATTTTACAATCGTCGTTGAACGGCAGATCCAATTTCAGGTTTACGAATACTAATGTTCAACTCCGTAGCCATGTGATTTTAAACCAAAACCAGAAGACAAGGAAACTTTTGGATCAAGTATTTTGAGAATTTGTGCCTCTGTGGAGGACTTTTGATAGAACTAACCTTCATTTGCTTTACATGGTGAGGAAAAATCACGATCACCTCTCACAGTTAGCCCGACGGCAGGACCATGATCCATCTAACCCAGATATTTTACGCCAACACTCTGGTCGATGTAAATTCGTATCGATCAGCCATCATCTGGTATTCGAACCCGGTTCACCTCATTAGAAAGCGACCGCTCTATTCCCTGAGCTACTAAGGCTCGCTACCGATTTATTAAAACTTTTGCAGAAAGTGGAGCAGTTGACATCCCTGCAATTGCAAAGTTCTTACTATTCTTTATTTTGCGCTGCTAACTTTCTACGTCTTTTTTCGGAAGGGGGGGGAATTCTTTTAGTGGTAGGTAAGTTTATGTTTGAATGTAATATTCTTTGTCTTGTAAATTTGATCTAAATTTATTCATCTCACCACTACATGTAAATGGTTCAAAAGTTTATGAAAAACTCATTTTGTTTCTACTCTTTTGGAGAAAGGTTATTAAAATGGTTGCAATGTTACCAAACTTTTTGAAAGCTTTAGTTTCTTATTGTTTTCCACTCTATAAATTTTTTCTCAAAAAAGCGAAGCCGCTGCCAGCACTATTCTTAATTAATACCTCTCCGCCACATTTACTTTTTCACGGATAAATAAAACACCCTTTATATAAATTGTAACTGAAAATACATCTTGATAGTTGGAATCATTTAATTATCTCGAAAACAAACTAGAAAGGAAACTATTTTTCAACCAGTTCTTTTATTTCGGGTCATAAACTTCCCTGGCAGACCATTAAACTTGCAACTGGAAAGCGTCACTTAATTGTTGTTACAATATCAGAAAACATTCCGCATTGCTTGCATTGCAATGGCCAAAAATGCATTTAATATAACTTATAAATGAAGATTCGATTGAAGATCTAATAAATTTATATCAATTCTCTTTCTAGCTACCACCCATCCCTTGGTTCAAAATTATGACATCGGTTCCATTCTGGGCTCTCATCATCACACAGATTGGAGCAGATTGGGCTTTTTACACGCTTGTCAATGATTTACCCACTTTTTTCGCTACTATGCTGCACTTTAACGTAGCAAAGGTAAATATGTATATCTCTGCTGCTGTGATCAAAGCGGGCCTTATGAAGTCAATGGATTTTTGTTCATTGTCCTGATTCATAAGACCCAATTTTCTTCTTCTTCTGAACTGTAAGTGGTGGTATTGTTGCTTCATAATATATCTGCTGAAGAAAAACTTGATATGTATAATATTTATCCGTGATAACCAATAACAAAGAAAACTTAAAAGAGCAAAAACTAGGAAAACTGTCAAAACTATATGGCTAAGAAAAGAATCGACTACAGATATCCCAACTTGGACAGCGGTAGTTTTGTAATGTATGATTTCTGGTTTAGTAAATTCGATTTATAGGGTTTTTGCTCACTTCTACTTCCAGAAAATTCAAAGGCTTATGTGATTTACCACTTTATTACAGTTGAGCTTCGTTAAGCCATCACCTTCTAAATAGAAAGCCTCCACACGCTTTCTTATAAGTAGTCTGCGCAGATTATTTATAAAGCAAACCACTTGTGCGCATGAGCATGAGATGCCAACTGTTCCGGACACGCTAAAATAATTAAAAAACGGTATATAACTACTAAGTAAATTTTGCTCTCTTTTTAAGAGGTATTGCACGACGTATGTCATACCTGCCAACTTTTAATACCTTCCATTATCATTTTTCTCAGTGGTATTAAAACTTCAATTTTAAGCAAACAAATACATTGTATTTGAGAAAACTTAAGATGACAACCATGATAGTAACGCATATTAATATACATGCTTAATTTTTGTAAGAATAGTGGTGATCAAAAACATTTAAAAATTAAGTTTATCGAAGAAAAAAATAGTATATATTTACTACCACTTTAAATATGAAAATAAAATCTTCCGGAAAATCCGGAAGAGTTGACTGGCATGATGTACTATAAAGTGGTGAATTATATAAGCCTACGAATTATTTAGAAATAGTGGTGAATAAAAATCTGCTAAATTGACTTTATTAAACCAAGAATCACAATTCATAAACTACCACTTTAAAATATATATTTACTGTCCGGAGCAAGTTGGCATCTCTGTGAACCCAAATTCTATTTTAAAAGTAATTGAGAGAAATTTATCATATATATTTGAGAATTGAATCTGTAGTGGTTGACAAGCAAATAAAACCAATCAATTACATTCATAAAATAAACTAATTTTTAGACATATATTTGCTGCCATTTTCTAACTTTTAATAGATTTAATATTAAAGTCTATTAAAATCAGATGGTTAATTACTGTTAATAATAGGATTTTCTTTTCTTATGAACTTTTGAAATCTACCCTATTACATTAAGGATATATTTCTTTGATTAACACGTTCACGCCAGGGTGACCCACCGGTGGATCACGCTAGATTTTCTCATCTTGGCAGCGCACCGGAGTAAAAACTGGTAACAATAAATTTCATTTTTTAGTTTTTTTTTCCGGGAGTAATAAAAATCCATAACTACCGATTGTTTTTAACAGATGCAATTTTAATATTGAATTGTTTCTTCGCCGTGGTTAATTTCTTTACAGTGAATTGTTATTGTTGAGAATAGATTAACTCCTCCAGAATATTATCTAATATTGAAATAGTTCATCTACCAGTATTTTCTCTTTTCTCGTACCAGTATTTTACCTTTTCCCGGCGTGAACGTGTTAAATAATAGTAAACTTTCTTGCTCGCTTTGGAGATTAATGCTTTTGTTTCAATTTCAGTTAGATCTCATGTTAGAGGATAAATGGTAATGCAAATTTTTTTATCACTTTTTTTTAAAAAAATGTATTAGTTAATATTTGACGCCCGGTGGCTGAGCGGTAGCGCTTCGCGCTGTCGTGCCACAGGTCCTTGGTTCGATCCTTGGGCCGGGCAAGGCCGACTCAGCCTTTCATCCCTTCAGTGGGTCGATAAAATGAGTACCAAGCATGCTTGGGAACTAACACTGGGGGTTCCGCGTTCGGCTGACCACCTGACCGGAACATATGCTCCTGCACTCCAGAGCCCAAGGTCAAGAAAACTGAGATGGGCACAGTCGGCCTTGGCCCTCTTAATGGGCTGTCGCGCCACTGAGTTATTAGTTAATATTTATCTATGCAACATATTTGTAGTATTTATTGTAATGTTTTATGTTAAAAATGTTATAATAATCAGGTATGTTTATTTGCAGAATGGATTCTTATCATCGTTTCCTCATCTTCTCCAAACCTTTTTTGGTCTCGTAGCAGGATTCTTAGCAGATTTTATGGTACAAAGAAAACTCGCCTCAACGAACTTCGTCAGAAAATTTTTCAACTCATTGTGTAAGTCTTTAAAAACCTAGAATTTTAGCTGAATGTTTATCATTACCTTTTACGATAAATGTTACAAACTCTCATTCAATGTTTATTTTTAAATATGACTTTACTCTTTTATTTTTTGAAAATATCACAGTAAAGCTTTTTTTTAAATTTTTTTAGCTGGTTTCGGGCCTGCTCTTTCTCTAGTAGCAGTCTGCCTTGCAGGATGTGATGTTTCACTGAATGTCATTTTCTTCACACTTTCCTTGTCATTGGGAGGTTTCTGTTATAGTGGGTACATGCTGTCCCACCTTGATTTATCTCCAGAATATGCAGGTAATACACTTCACTCATGATGTATTATATTAATTATCAACGAACTTCTTATTCCCATACCACCAGGAAAAGCATTCATCAAAAATTTATATTTTGGAAGCTGTGCCTCAAATTTAAAAATTTTTAAATTTGATGGTTAATTAATTAAATGACAAATTTAAACATAAAATTAAAGTCGTTTGCATGTAAAGGTAAAATACGTAGCTGCAAACATTCATGCATTTGGCGGAGAAACTTGACTAATGATAATTTCATTATTTAATTTTTGATGTAATAAATGAGCCGACTCAAGCAGCAAAATAACTCGAGCCATCATTAGACCAATATTCATGAATCTTGGGTCAATAAGGGTTCAAAGGACCGTTATTTTGTCCGATATTGTCCCTATATAGAATTGTCAGATTCACCAGATATTTTAAATTTATTATTCAGCCAATATAGACCCTATATAGACCACTCTAAGACCAATATTAAAGGAATATAGACATTCCAATATTGGTCCCTCGGTACTTGTTCTTGTGGGACCCATATTGAGCCAATTTTGGCCCCATATAGAATGATCCTATTCACCCGTCATTTTACAGCCACTTTACAACTAATGTCGTCACTATGAAGAACTGTCAGATTCACCCGATATTTTAAACTTATTATTCAGCCAATATTGGCCCCCGATATAGACCATTCTAGAAGCCAATATTAAGAAATCAAGACATCCCAATATTGGTCCCTCCGTGCGTGTTCGCTGGACCCTTTGTACCAGTTTTGAGCCCAATAAGGCTGAGGTTAAATTGTTGTTAGGGGACTTAGGAGCTTAAAAAATGTAGCTTTTTTATTTATTTCCTTAAATTTCAATAATAGTTTATGTATTTTGATCATTCAATAAGTTATAGTGATAACCCAAGTTGGTTAACTTTTTCCAATGTTTCTATATTCATTCAAACATTAATCCTTTAAAAGCTCAAAAATACTATTAAATGAAAAATAAGTAAAAAATGTTTATTCCACTTTTGAAAATAACGGCATAACTAAGACTTAAAGTTACTTTTCACCACAATAACGTATAAGCAATTTATATATCCCTGCATACCTTGAAATGAACACAAATTATTTCACCCATTAAAACAACTCTGATTATCGTTTCGTTATACTAAAATAAATGTTATCAGTTATAATCTTTATTAAAACTGTTATTCAATTATTATTAAACTAAAAGATAAGTGCACAATTTTATTGTAAAAAAATCATTGTGTTACTCTTATATTTTCCAAAAGTGTTACACTTTCGTTGTTTGCTCTAGGTAAGAAACCTTTTCCAATGTGATTTTTTGTTGTAGGGTCATTGAGACAAGGAGTGTTATTTTTCTTGCTTTCCAGGTGCACCATCTATGAACAAGAATTCGAGTCATACCCATGCGTCATGACACGTACCCATACGACCCATGACACACCCATACGTCAAACCCGCTTATAGAGCAGACCCAATTATACATCCATTCATTCAACCGCAGATATTAATTTTGACCCGAACAAGAAAACGATCAATTTCCAATTCAGTACCCCCAGAAGAATAATTTCTCATGGGAACATGGAGGACTTTGTGACCAGAGAGATTTAACGGGCACCAGTCACGATTTACTAGCCATCTAGTTTCGAACTCCCGTTTACATGAACGGGTGTCATGCTCCCTGCCAACCAGGCTATCCCGGCTGGCTCCAATATGACCTTTTAAAAATCATATTTATTTTACAAGCCTCATTAAAGAGCAAACTTTAATAATCATTTTTCTGTTGTCGATCTTCTAAACTGCTTTTGAAGTTATTTATGACTCCATGCACTCGAAATGTGGCGACCAATTTGAGATGAAAGTTTCAACCCACATGTAGCAACTAATTAGGGACGGAGGGAGTATTTATTGATTATGTTAAAAACACTTGCTTAATAGTTTTGGTGACAAAATTAAAATTAAAAAGATTTTAAATATGGATTTTCAGCTGCAAAAATAAAAGGAATATTACATTTACTTCAGATCTTTAGTTTTTGGAAGTGGAATGCAATTATGATTAATAAATTTTAGTTTTCTCTCTTCACTAATTTTTGAATCACCCTAGCGTAATCGTAGTACATAGAGCGAAATCATATGACCAATAAATTTCAAAAGCAGTGTTTATTAAATGTATATACAATATCAGTNATTTCTTAAAAATAAAAAAATTGTGATATTCGATAATATATTTAGCTAATTAACAAGTAATATGAAAAGAATATTCTTAAAAAAAATTATTATACTCTCTAATAAAACGAAGTGCTAAATGATTTAAAAAAATGAATAAAATGTGCAAACCTTTCAAATTTTTTTGTATAAACAAAGTTAATTGACTTATGTCCAAATCCAAATGACAAAAATAAATTTTGTTTTAATTTTATTTCTAAAAATAAAAACAACAAGATTTATAAATTTAAAATCAGTAATAAAAACTCACTAAATTATTAGAAGTTTCATCCAAAAAGTTTTTAATAAATTAAAAGAAAGTAAAAAAATAACCTGACAAATTCAATTCTTTATGGGAGCCTAAATTAGATTGCCGATAATTTTCACATTTAAAAATAAAAAAAAGCTTTTTTAAAAAAAAAAGTTATCTAATTAATGAAGAAACACTTCTTTATATATTCTTTTCAATAATAGATTGCCTTCAGGACAAGGTAACATCGGCGATCACGAAGTTAGTCCCACTGAAAATAATCCACATGAAAAGTCGCGACAACGAAAAAAAAAAGCTAAGAGGTGCGAAAAGGAACATGCGATATAACGATATTTGTTCTCAAAACTCTGATTCTGATTCTACAGCTCACCAATCAAGGCCATTTCAACATAACGAAACGAACATCGTTTTCCACAGCGCAAGTCGACATCGGAACGTAAGAGAAGAGTCTTATATCGCTATATCGTTCTTATATCCTTGCGTGTCTTATATCGCTATATCGTTTTACGCTCGTTGTCTTTACTCGACGGCTTAAATCAGATTTCTTATGCATAGCCTTGAATGAATGTCGCTGTATCGTCTTGCCGATATATGCGTTAAATCGATATGTCTCGATACATCGATTTATAGTCCAGTCCTAGTTGTTGCTCTAGGTAAGAAACCTTTTCCAATATGATTTTTTCTTGTAGGGCCATTGAGACAAGGGGTGTTATTTTTCTTGCTTTCCAGGTGCACCATCTATGAACAAGAATTCGAGTCATACCCATACGTCATGACACGTGCCCATACGACCCATGACACACCCATACGTCAAACCCACTTATAGAGCAGACTCAATTATACATCCATTCATTCAACCGCAGATATTAATTTTGACCCGAACAAAAAAACGATCAATTTCCAATTCAGTACCCCCAGAAGAACAATTTCTCATGGGAACATGGAGGACTTTGTGACCAGAGAGATTTAAAGCGCACCAGTCACGATTTACTACACGGGGAGTCTTCGGCCATCTAGTTTCGAACTCCCGTTTGCATGAACGGGTGTCCTGCGTCCTGCCAATCAGGCTATCCCGGCTCCAATATGACCCTTTAAAAATCATATTTATTTTACAAGCCTCATTAAAGTGCAAACTTTAATAATCATTTTTCTGTTGTCGATCTTCTAAACTGCTTTTGAAGTTATTTATGACTCCATGCACTTGAAATGTGGCGACCAATTTGAGATGAAAGTTTCAACCCACATGTAGCAACTAATTAGGGACGGAGGGAGTATTTATTGATTATGTTAAAAACACTTGCTTAATAGTTTTGGTGACAAAATTAAAATTAAAAAGATTTTAAATATGGATTTTCAGCTGCAAAAATAAAAGGAATATTACATTTACTTCAGATCTTTAGTTTTTGGAAGTGGAATGCAATTATGATTAATAAATTTTAGTTTTCTCTCTTCACTAATTTTTGAATCACCCTAGCGTAATCGTAGTACATAGAGCGAAATCATATGACCAATAAATTTCAAAAGCAGTGTTTATTAAATGTATATACAATATCAGTCTTCTATTGCAGGTACTCTCATGGGAATAGCCAACACTATTTCGAATTTGACTGGCTTTCTAGCTCCTCTCGTTGTTGGAACTCTAACAGAAAACCAAGTCTGTATATTTAATTTTAATTTCATTGATTATTAAAATAGAGTAACAACTAAAATTAAAGCGAGATAATACAAAACACTAATTTAAATTTTAATGTACTTATCAATTGAATTTTTGATTCATAATGCATGCAGTTTCTTAAAGTAAATGTAATACTACAAACTATACGTACTTACATACATATTTTGCTTATTGTTTTAAAGAGTTTAGCATGATACATAACTGCCAATTCATCTGGATTTTCCGGAAGATTTTATTTTCATATTTAAAGTGGTAGTAAATATATACTAATTTTTCTTTTATAAAATTAATTGTAAATGATTTTGATCACCACTATTCTTACAAAAATTAAGCTTATATATTAATATGCGTTACAATCATGGTTGTCAATTTCATTTTTTTCAAATACAACGTATTTGTTTGCTTAAAATTGAAGTTTTAATTCCATTTTAATACCACTGAGAAAAATGATAATGGAAGGGATTAAGAGTTGGCAGGTCTGGTAATGTATCAGCATACCTGTCTACTTTTACACATTTTGCGTAAAATTTTATTCATATGCGTAAATTTATGCAAGTAAAATATTGCGTAAAATTTTATTTTATTTGACCACCACTTTTTTTAAAAAAATTTAGTATGTATAATAATTAGGGAAAATTACATATTTATCAGATTTTTTTTGACTGAGATAAATTAAATGGAGCCCCTCGTGGGGCGGATGCTAAGATTACTACCACATATGAGATTTGGTTGTGCGCTTAAGCTCTCTCAAAATTCCATGCATGTTTCTGCCTGAAATTGCAATTTGATTTCCATTTCATAAAAACTGGGAAAAATCATCCGCGAAAGGATTAAAAGTTGGCAGGTATGCATCAGTCATCGTCACGAGAAAAATTCCCACAAGAAGTCTTACCAAAAATAAGAGAAAATAACTAGTAGTAACCATGTAATTTCTAGTTTGTTATCTTGAAGAGCAGAGCTGCCAACCCGGAATTTGCCCAGCTCTCGACGCTGTCAGAGATAACAACTTGCTCCGGAAAGCAGATAAATATTTTCGAGTGCTAGTCTTTCAATGTATCTTTGGTTTAGCAAATTCAATTTATAGTCTTTTTACTCACCGCTACTTCTAAATAGTTCAAAGTATTATTTGATATGCCTCTTTGTTATTCCCAACAGGGTTCCCGCGGCCCTTGAAAAATTTTAAAAGTGGTAGTAAATTTAGGGTGATACTACAATATATTTTTTAATTTTAACACACCTTTTTGTCGTTAAGTGCTGGAATTTTCATGCATGTACGTTTTTTTTTAGTAAACAATTTTCAGTGATGTCTACATAGTAATTAAAATATCAAAATTTGTTTTAATTTTATTACCACTTTTTAAAATTCTCAAGGACCGTGGGAGCCCTACCCTACTTAGACTTAGCAATTAATCTCACCCCCTTTCCCCCTTAGCTTTTATTGCTTCTCCTTATCGAAGGTGTTTGCTCCTCCTTATCGTAGGTCTATACAATATCACCATTTTTTTTCTATTTTTTAATGTTATGTATCAAATATCACCTAAAGAAGTGATATCCCAATCACCATTTCTGACATTTTTTAAATGTAATTCATCAGTGATGTAACAGGGAAGTCAGCTAAAATAATTAAAACCGTAAAAAAGTTCTATAAATTTTTAATGTTTGAAATTTTTCAAATGCTCCTGTGATCACTATAATAATTTTATAGCTGAAATTTATACACAGAAATATGACATCCTCCGGGGGAAAATTATCAAAATTTAATTAGTTGCAATCATTCTATAGTTTTGATTGTTCTATAAGTTTTAATAGCTAGTTGATAACCATTAGAATTTTTCGGAATGGGAAATACATTTTTCTCATTTTAGTATACTCGGAAAAATTTAATATAATTTTTGTTTGTTGTGAATTATATCATTAGTAATTTGTTTCTTTTTTCAGCAAACACTACATCAATGGAGAATAGTTTTTGGAATTTCCGCCATCCTTTTGATGTTTACAAGTTTGATTTTTCTGTTTTTTTCTTCTACAAAGAAACAAGATTGGGCAGAAAGAAATTGTGAAAGCCGAATATTAATAAACAATTCAAAGACATCCTTAAATGGTAGAACTAGTTATGATAGTGTTCATTGCTGAAAAAATGTATAAAGCTCCTTGTAATTTATTTTTCGAATTGAGTCAGCCCATTTCGTCATTGAGTCAGCCCAGAATCAAATCAGCCCATTTCGACCAGTTTTTATATGGGCATTATTAAATCAACAAACAGTTGTAATTATTTAATATTATTATTATATTCTGCGTGATATGTATGGTACAAACTGTGGTGACATTTAAATTACCAACAATATTTAAAACTTATTGTAGTGAGAAAAATGTTTATTTATTTAAATGTTGAAATGTAGAAAGAAAATAAAGAACTCTTGTTTTTAACATCATTTTCTCATTGGTTCCTTTAATAAATAAAAGCATATTTCTTCCAAAAGTGTGCCAACTTCTAACTGCGGCTGTTGATTTATCTTTGGTCTTTATTTTCAATTGAAGCTTAATTTGAGTTTAGTACCAGTCCAAGATAAGTCGCCTTTAGCAGTTTTGGGATATAGTCATTGGCGAAAGTTTTTGTTACAGAGTTTTGACCTTTCTTTTATTTTTCCTTGTGATTAGATCATAGGATATTCAGGCATTTTTTTTTTCTGTGAGAGCACCAATTTTAAATTTCAAGAGCTTCGTCTTGCAGTCAAGAAATCTACAAGTTTTGGTTTTTGGATTCGATATAATGAATTTAGACATAAAGCAACAAGAAGTCAAAATGTGAAGAAAATAAGTTCCAGGCACAAGTCAACAATCAGTAACTTTTTTGATAACTGCAATTTTTAAAGCAGTCGATTTAAATATAACTGTTTAATAAAAATTAAATGCATTACTAAACTCACATATATTATAAAGTTAAAACATATACATATCATGTAAACGAAATTTTTTTTTATGGTTTGCCTTTATTCAATTAATGATTGAATAAAAAGTTTTTTTTTATTAATAATAATTCAGAAGCTATGCCAAATATGATATACCAAATTCACACTAATTCTTTTGAATAATGATTTAGATAACACTAAACTTCATTTGCAATTGTGGAACTTTAAAATAACTTTTTGGCACCAATGCATTTGAATTTGTTATGTAACCAAGATAAGTCGCCGTTCTCAGTTTTGAGACACGGTCATTGAAGAAAGATATGGATTTCTAGCATTTATTTATTCTATGCTTGTTAAAAAAATATAGTGAAAATAGTGGTTGGAGACGCATGGTACTTTCCTCTCATTTTTCGGTGAAACTAGATATTTTAACTTCAACAGCTTTTTAATTTTATATAGGCCAGGTCATGAAATATAAGTTCTAATGTACGAGTCAGACTAAAATATTTGCTCGCCCCTATTCTCACGAAAAATATAAACTTTTTTCAATATGTTAATAGATATATCAAAAAAAAAGTGTGAAACCAAGAAATAATGTAGAATATGAAAAACTGGAACACATTTTTTGCTCGAAAAACATTGATATTAGTTTTAAAAAATTTCAAAGCTTCTAATGTTACATCATTCACCCTTTTCCGTCGGATTTTTTTTTTCAAATCTCCGACCCAAAAAAAAAAGAAAAAAATTTTTATTGCTGAAAATTAATCTATGTTCTATGTTAAATATTTTTGCTTGACATATTGGCAGAGAAATATGTGATTTCCTCTCCTCTGATCTCCAGTTTTCCCTGCACTACACATAAGTTTCATCAACATCATTCAAAACATAAAGCTGAAGAAATTTAAATTTCATAGGGTTGACTTCTAATAACCAGTCAGAACAGACATAGAGTTAAAAAGCGACAAATCCCTGTTTTGCTATAAAAACTGCAATATCTCTATATGGGCAATATAACATTTAATGAAACTTATAAAACAAAGAAGCAAATATTTAAAACAAAAAAATTTCTATCACTGGAACAAAATGTTTGACGCCAAATCCATTTCCCCTCCCCCTCCCCTCATCCCTTAACCCTATTAAATTTCTATTAAGGAGCAGATAGCCCCCAGGGCTAGCTACTCTTTATCCTGATTTTAAATTGGTTACATGCTTTTTTTTTCCAATAAATTGCCGTATAGTTAGATTGAATAATCTCGGTTTAACAAAATAAAGTATTGTATCGCACGAATCAGAACACCTAACACCAGAACAATACTAACGTTCTTATTTGTTTATGAAGAGTAGTAATTTGCGTATTCACAAGAAAAACATGAAATTATTAAAAAAAGGTAACATTTAAAGTAAATTTAAAAGGAAATAAAAAAAAACAAAAATCATCGAATAAAAATAAACTTTGACAGCGATTACGGAGGAATCTACTCTCGCCACTTAATATTATTTACTTATTTATTTGATCTTTTTATTTTTCTCTTCTTTTTTTTTATCATTGCGCAACAATGAAAGTAATCTGACAAGTTACCCACGCAAGCGCTTCCTCTACGTTTTAAGTTAAATAGCAATAGAGTTGTTATCTGATTTGAACTAATTTTGGGATCATTTTGCTATACCTAATCAGATTATTAGATTTACAAATGTTCGAAAATCCTGGGACATGTTGACATCAATGTATTTAATGACAATAATAATGTACATTTGAAATAAAATAATTATAAGACTAAAATAATCATTTTGACAAAGAATAATGAAGTCATTGTAAATTAACTGTACAGAGGAAGATATAAGAATACAATGTAAGTTAATATGTCTTATTGGTTTTGTTTTATTAATATTTGTTTAGTAAATTTATAAGCTGATAGTGTTGTTTAAATAAAATCCAAAGTTTTTATTTTAAGTCACTGTTTTGAAGGCGATCGTCATAAACAAGTATGTGCTGCTATCTAGTGGCGTTTTTAATAAAAAAAAGTCAAAAGAATAAAATTGTAGATTATACGGCATTGAAAGCTATGCAACTTTAAGTTATTCTGACGGACTGACGCACACGTCTTTGTTAGTTACTGAAATAGTTAAAATTACTTATGAACTTTTTAAAAAAATGAAATACATTGTTCTTTATTTTTTATTATTTAAAGTAAATCGGTTTCTCGTTGTTCACCTACGTGACTCAGAAATGTAATTTGATGTAAGCGAAAACAGTTTTTTTTTTTTTTTTTACTGTGTCATTTTGAAAAAATTACGATAAATTTTAAATTTTCGCCTTCATTATATTATAAGCTCGACTTTCGAATATTTAATTTTCCCTGAGGCTCGCAGATCGCAATTTTTATAGGATATGTTTCAAAATTTGGTTTACTCTATAATGTCATTTAGATTTTATTGGTTACATTTTTTTTTCTCTTTCCTTCTTTTTTTTCACTGTAGCCTATAAATTCACGACTTTTATCAGTTTCGTAAAAGAAAATTATTATTATTACTATTTTTTTTATTTCATTTTTTTTTTTTCGTTTGAAGCACTTTTTTCTTTATTCGAAAGTGATTTTTAAGAGATTCAAATCAGAAATAAAAATATTCACTAACTTTATTTTGTGTGCTTAACCCTAAAGGATTGCGATATAAACAGATTAGAACATAAACAGATAAGAAAACAGATATAGAAAAAAAGATATAGAAAAAAAAACACTAGTAGGAAAAACCTTTCAATACTAGTATCTTTCCCATGTAAAATCTATTATAGCCGCGATTTTTTTTATTTTTTAAAGTAAGGTTAAAAATAAACAATAGAGCATTTACTGTAGTATTACAAAATCACCAAACCCACCACTATTTTTTTCCCAGTCTCACACATATGCTAAATTCTTCTCACCTTCTAAATTACATTAACAAAATTCAAGTATTCGTGAATCATTCTTAATTATTGTAAATTTAATTTAAAATTATTTTATTTGCAAAATAATTAATGTCAAACTTTTAAGTTTTGATTAATTAACCGAAACCTGCAAATATTAGTTTTTCATTCTTCACAATTAAAAAAAAAATGTTTAAAACGTAGCAGTTGGCATTCTTGTTCTTATAAACATCAATTTTTTAATAAATTTTGGCATTCATTTTTATTTGATAGTTCCAAAGACAAGCTAGAAATAAAACAGTTTGGCGACCAGTTATACCTCTTTTTCCGTCTCTCACAAATTCTTAATCATTCACAAAAATTTTAAATATGTTTCTATTATTAGTGTAAAAAAGAAATACGGGAAGCAAAACCCAGAATTTCTGATTTTCCGGAAAATATGCAATTAAAGTAAGTGTGATAACCACAACTTTAATTAATTCGTTATTATTTTTGTATTTTCGTTATATTCTGTATCTCTGCCAGCTACTACGCCTTTTGAAAAATATATTATATAGTTGTAGACAGTTAAAATGCAAATCTTTCAGATTTTTTTCTAAATTTGCCAACATTCTTAAAACAGGGGTTTCCAACTTGCATGAGGCCGGGGATCGCAGTTTTATATAGGACTTTTAATGTTTGAAGGAACATTAACTCCTTGGGGACGGGTGATTCAGAAAAGCATTCGTACAAAATCAGAATCAGGATGTAATTTTTAAAAAAAACGGTAACTTAAATGTAGTCGTTTCGAATTTGACAGACTTACTTTGCTTTTACTTTAATTATTGTTAGTTCAATCATGTATATAATCAATGTTAGTTCAAAGTATAACTTTTGAATTAAATAAATCAAACAATTATAACTCCGCCCACAAATTAACTGCTAAGGAATTACTTTGATTACCAGTTTTATCTTTTTACCCCGGTTGGTGCGGTTTTATGCTGGCACGTATTTGTGACAGTCGGCACGAAAGGGTTCAATATTATTGTCAGATTTGTGTCAAGTTGTACAAAACAAAAGTTTTGAATTAGAAATAATAATAAATATTTTCTTGGATGCAAAACCTGAGAAATAATTTTTTTTGCCCCTTTGGTATGTTAAATTTTACAGAAACTTAGGTTTTTTAACGAAAGAAAAATATTTTAAACCCATATAGATTTTTGACGAAAATTGTCTGCAGAAAAAATGACAACTATTATAGTTTAGTTCATGGGCCACAAAAAAAGGCTTTGCTAAACGCCAGTAAGTAACCCCTGTTCTTAAAACATCACGACGAGAGCTGGATATTATTGCTAACTTGATATTTGGGTATTTGGTGCAAAGTGCCACCAAGCGATTCATCTGCACTGTGTAGACATGTGCCATAAGTCATGCATGTTAATAATCATATGCTGAATGAGAGAGCTGGAACAAAATGGCGTTGCATATGAACCTTTAAATCACTTACAGGGTGGGAAATAAGTTTAAATGAATAAAAAATAATACAGTAGAACATAAACTTAGCTACCACTAGATTAAATTTTTTCAAAAAGCGTTGAAAGTTGGCCATCCTGATTCTTATATACGTGAAACGAAATCTGGAATTTCTGATTTCTCCAGAAAATATATAATTAAAGTAAGTCACAACCACTATTTTAATTATTCAGATGTTATCTTCTTATTACCATTATATTCTTATGTACGCATACCTGCCAACTTTTAATCCCTTCCATTATAATTTTTCCCAGTGGTAGTAAAATAGAATAAAAATTTCAATTGCAAGCAAAAAAATACGTTGTATTTGAAAAAACATCAGCTGACAACCATGATAGTAATGCATATTACTATATATGCTTAATTTTTTTAAGAATAGTGGTGATCAAAATCATTTAAAAATTAAGTTTAAAGAAGAAAATATAGTATATATTTACTACCACTTTAAATATCAAAATAAAATTTTACGCCAAATGCGTAAAAGTTGGCAGGTATGTGTACGTAAATCAAATTCCAAAATTTCTAATTTAACAGGAAATATATAATTAAAATAACTCATAACCACTACTTTATTTAATTCGTTATTATCAATGTTATATAAAGTAAGTAACCTTTTTTAATTACATTATAGCATACCTGCCAATTTTTAATCTTTTCAAGGATGATTTTCCCCAGTGGTAGTAAAATGAAATTTAAATTACAATATTAGGCGAAAACGTTCGCTGTATTTTGAATAAGCTTACTGATTACTACAACAATATTACATATTAATATATATGCTTATTTTTTTTAAAAATAGTGGCGGATCAAAAATATTTTAAATTAAGTTTATAAATGCAAGGAATATATAGAAAGCATTCATTTTACTACCACTTTAAATTTAGAAATAAAATAGAAATAAAATTTTACGCCAAATGCGTAAAAGTTGGCAGGTATGTTATAGGCACTTGGTGATCAATTTAATTGCATTATAATAGGCACTTGGCGAACATCATGAACCTGGCAGCATATTCAACTTTGAAATAAAAGCTATATTTTATTATTATCGACTAAATTAAGCATACCTGCCAACATTTGATTTTCTTTCGTGAAACTAGCTTTCTAGTGGTAGTGGAATTTTAATTTTAAATACGTACTTTTTAATTTTTATCAGCGTCTTAAAATAACATCGAATAATTACTAAGCGTTTAATTTTGGGGAGTAAAATTCATTTTAAATCAAACGCATAAGAACATGAATGAAACGTCAAAGCGTTCATTTCACTACTACATTAAATTTAAAATTAAAATAATATAATTAATATTTTTATATATATGTATATAGGTAGAAAGATAGATAGATATTGTTACATAAAATGAAATGCCGTGGTGGGCAAAATAATTTAAGATTTATTTTTCAGAATTAAGATTAATACTGCAAAATATAAATATTACTATACTAAGAAAAATAGTTTCTTAATGATCGTTAAAATTAGCCCTATAAAAAATATTTCCGTACATACGTTACCGTAAAAGCTCTAGGTCTAATAAATCCTAGGTTTTACCAGTAAAATTTCGGATTTACCATAGTGACTTGTAAATGTTGTTGTTGTTGTTAATTTACGTCGCATTAGAGCTGCACCATGGGCTATTGGCGACGGTCTGGGAAACATCCCGGAGGATGATCCGAAGACATGCCATCACAATTTTGATCCTCTGCGAAGGGGATGGCACCCCCGCTTCGGTAGCTCGACGACCTGCTCGCGAAGTCGAGCACTTTACTGTAGCACAGTTTAACGAGGACCAATACCGCACACCCTCGGTCCCTACGCAGACTGATCCAAGTGGTCACCCACCCGCACACTGACCGTAGCCAGTGATGCTTGACTTCGGTGATCTGCTGGGAACCGTGTCTTAACGATCAGTCCACTGCGGGACGACTTGTAAATGTCTGAAATATGCTTTAATATAATTTTATTTCGGACTTTTACCAAGTCTTTGAGGTAAAACCTAGGAAACTACCAAAGCCTTCCTGTAAAAGTGCGAAACGAGATATTAGCCATTATTACAATTAAAAATGACAAGTTTTATTTCTTGATACTAAGTATGATAAATTAAAATCATTGAATGGCTCAGAGGAGTACGTAAAGTAGGGGGGGGGGAAACGTTATTTAGTTGAAAGACTGGACTCAGAAAATGCAACTGTTCAAAGAAGTATACTACGAACGTTTGTCTGTGTAAATCAGCTGAACTTAGTTATTAAAAATGACAGAATAGTTAACCTTATTATAGTTGTAACAAGTAGTAAGAAATATTAAAGTAGTAGTATTAAAGACATACATACCGCATTTTTCTTGTTTAAATTTCAGAATTTTTATTTTATTTCTTTCCTAAGTAATCAATTCAATTTTTGAATGGTAACTAAAATTATTTTTAAAAATTATTAAAAGCTTTAGTAGTTACCGGAAAAATTGTTCTTTATTTAATTTTTTTTCCAGTTTCTGAGAAATCGAACTTTAAAGAAAATATATTTAAATTCCGATTTCTCAGGGACTATTTGACTGATTTCGTTCAAATTTTGTATTTTGAGTCATAAAATTGTATTCTTTAAAATGCAGTAAAAAATATTATCTTACAATAGAACTTTTTTTTACTATTATTAAATAAAATAATAAATAACTATTAAAAATTATTTTTCGCATGGAATTATCTTTGGATAAACGAACTTCATAAGAGTGTGCAAACATTTTTCGGTTCGCTTAAAAAATTCCCGTGGTATGACGAAATACGCAAGAAGTCAAATTAATATTAAGAAATTTAAATTTTATACCACTCTCCTGACCAAACTAATGTTGATATATTTCCAAGATAGCAACTACCTTTTACATACCTGCCAACTTTTGATTCCTTCCATTATAATTTTTCCCAGTGGTAGTAAAATGGAATTAAAATTTCAATTGTAAGTAAAATAAAATGCGTTGTATTTGAAAAAGCTTCAGCAGAAACCATGTAGTAACACGCGTTAAGATATGTGCTTAATTTATTTAAGAATAGTGGTGATCAAAATAATTTAAAATGTAAGTTTATAAAAGAAAAAATTTTATATATTTACTACCACTTTAAATATAAAAATAAAATTTTATGCTAAATGCGTAAAAGTTGGCAGGTATGCATTTATATTTTGGGTATTAGAGTTCCAAATGCAATAAAAATAAATAAATAAAAAACTTAAAAAAAAATTTTTTTTTAAGCTTTTTTTAGAGAAGGCATTAATTAGTGAAAGACTATATTTCAAGATTGTGAAAATCCGATTATAAATTCAAAAGTTATTCTTCNTTTTTTTTTTTTTTTTTTTTTTTTTTTTTTTTTTTTTTTTTTTTGTAAAGTGCGCGAAGTAAACTAAATGAGTTTTCATATGTATCACAGATTTTCACGTGATTTTAGTCTTATAAAATTTTACGTCCTGTTAGAAGGAATTTGGACAGCTAATTAGCCGTGGCCTCCACCCTGAAGTTATAGAGGGTTTAGGGCTAGAGATTCTATAAAAGGCCATCTTTGCCAAGCTATGTGTTTTTTTGCCATGATTATTTTAAACCGATAGATGCCCCACACACAATAGGTGCGGGTTCGATGTTGTTGTTTATGGATTTTCATGAACTAAGTGATATTTTAATTCTTCATTATTAATTATTTAAGTTTTGGAATCAGTTACAAAAACTTACGTTACCTAAATACACATACTTGTTTTCAGCGAAATAAACATGCCATGTAAAACGAAGTGAAGTGTAATTAAAATCAATTAGTTTGGCAATTACGTTTTTAACTCGAAATGAGTATTTCTTAAAGAGCAGCATCCAATATTGTGCAAACAACAATATGCTGTGCCTTAAAATTTTATTTTGTTTTAAAGAGAAAAAAAAACAGCATTCATACACGAAAAATTTTTATAAATGGACAAACAAATTACATACTTTTAATTAAATTTCGAATTTTTTTAAATTATTACTTTCTGGAAGAAAAAAAACTTAAAATTGATTAAATATTATCTGTAACTTAACACTGAACGTAAATTATTGAGATAGTTACGTTATTGCATTATAAATGCAATAACGTGTTTGAAATTACAAAACGGAATCATTTTGATAAAAGTCTAAGCCTACCTTTTGGGAAATGTTGATGTTGACGTTTGCTCGCTTGGATAAATACTGGAAGATTTATACACTATAGATATACATTTTTTATCACATACAGGAGCATCTAATTCGCGAGTTATCAATTATGCGACTTAAAACTTTGTGTATTGATGATATCGACTGAAAGTTCTCAATGAGTCATTGAGATACGAGAAGTGTATACATCTTAAATATCAGATAAGATCGGAAAAATCAAAATAATTTAAAGCACCCCAATGTCTAATTCTCGAAGTTAATTCTTGAACACGTTAAGATTTCGCTTGAACTAAACTGTTTTTTCGCCTGTCGTAAGTTTACAGAAAAAATCTCATTCTTTCAAATGTCATGGGCGATTTTTAATACACCCCCGGAAAATTAGAAAAGCCTTCAGTATTTCTCGATCTACATGATATATAGTAGGCTTATTACAATCAGGCTTATTACAACAACCCCTTAAGCCAGGGGTGTCAAACTCAAAAGCTAGCTTGGGCCAAATAAACAATGCTTAACTTCAGGAGGGCCGCAAAAAATAAAATAAAAAATAAAAATATCAGTGTTCATAGTAACATATATTTTTATTTTCAATAGTACTTTGTAATAAACATATATAAAGTAAAATTATTCTTTGATATTTGACATCTCTTCTCTGCTACTATCTTTCCTATTTCGGGAGAAATTTTATTGGCCGAGACTACTTTCAAAATTGGCCCAGCGTGAGCGTTATTAATACGGTTTAAGACAGAAGATTTATTTCCATTCATAACAGAAAATAATTGCTCGCACTGATAAGTACTTCCAAACATGGAAAAAATTTCATATGCGAATTTTCGAGTATTTTCAAACTTAGCAGGTAAATATTTGTAAAATTCAGGCACACCCACTTCAATGAATTTTGCCTTCAAATTTGAGTCGCACTGAATCTCAATCACTTCCATTTG